GTGTCATAGTTGATGAGATAAGACGCGTTGAGCGCGTTTTGGTGGGGTGCGCAGGATACTGATATGCGCAGCTTACTGATAGAACACGTTAGTTAACGTGCTTGGGCATCCTCCAGCGCCATCCAAGCATCGCAGGTCTGGCTTGTGTTTGGGTGTTGGCTTGTAATTCTGACGATTGCAATGATTGTAACGACTGCAACGACTGCAACGACTGCAACGACTGCAACAACTGCAACGACTGCAACGACTGCAATGATTGCAACGACTGCAGCGATTGCAACGACTGCATCATGGCACGACACGACCTCCACATCAGCTCCTTCAGAGCAGCGTCCCGGGACATGATGGCGCAGTCTTTGCACGAAAGAGTACAAGACTCTGCATGTACCCTGCTCCAAGCCATCTCTGCCATGTTGGCGTGATTGATCGGATGGTGCCGTGTGAAGGTGTCATGTTTGCGATGGCCTGATGCGGAGGCGGCGGGGCGCCGGGTGGCGACAAGTCCCCCAACACACGTCGACGAGCTCAAGCACGAGAGAGACGCGGCCAGCTGCGCTCAGTCGTCTTCAGTCGTCTTCAGTCGTGCTCAGTCGTCGTCAATCGTGCTCAGTCGTCGTCAGTCGTCTTCAGTCGTGCTCAGTCGTGCTCAGTCGTGCTCAGTCGTGCTCAGTCGTCTTCAGTCGTCTGCAGTCGTCCTTTGAAGCTAAATCCAAGGCCTGTCGCCAGACGTCGACGTGTTCACGTGACCAGCTTGGAGGCGTCGCTGAAGAAGGCGACAGAAGGCGACAGACTGGGGGGGCGGATTTGATAGATTGGCCGAGGCAAAGCCGGGACCGGCGATTGCGTCGGTTGATGATGTCGAGACTGAGCATTACAGAGCCAGTAGTCGCAACGCCACGCCCGCGCAACACCAAAGTCCGCACTCGGCACGCCTTGTTGGCTGCATCCCATCCCCAGCATCGTGCATACAGGCTCATTGGGCGCGTGCTCTTTCCTTGCATCCCGCTCGCTGCCTCCCACCGCGCTCCCACCAGCGGCTCCCACCCATCATGCTCCACGCCTCGTGGCGGGCTGCACTGCGCCAGACACCGCGCTCCAATGCCACCCGCGCCGCCTCGCGCGCCGCCTCGCGCTTCCTGCCTGCACAATGCTCCGCGTCGCTCGTCGCACGGCACCCGCAGCGATGTCCGTCGCCGCCCGCCGCCCTGTGTGCCGCCCGCAGCTTCTCGGCCTCGGTGAGCCGGCCGAGGGAGAAAGACGCCAAGCCCGCGCCCGACGAGGCCGCTGCGGACCTTGACGAGGCGAAGAAGCCCAAGGAGCAGGACACGGCCGCCGACGAGTCCGAGGCCAAGACAAAGACGCCCGACCCGATACCGGCGCGGCCAGGCCCCGGACGGGGCAGCGCAGCAGGCGGCGACGGCGGGTCGGGCGGCGACGGCGGCGGCGGCGGCGGCAGCCGGCGGCGCAAGAGCAGTGCCCTCGTCAAGCCGTCGATCCCAGAGGTGTATCCGCAGGTCATGGCCATCCCGCTCGCCAAGCGCCCGCTGTTCCCGGGGTTCTACAAGGCCGTCACTATCCGCGACCGCGAGGTCGGCCAGGCCATCGCCGACATGGTCAAGCGCGGACAACCGTACATTGGCGCCTTCATGTTCAAGGATGACGGCGTCGACAAGGACGTCATCGACGACCCGAGCGAGGTGCACGACGTGGGCACCTTTTGCCAGGTCACGAGCGCGTTCCCCGTCGGCTCCGAGGACAACTTCGCCATGACGTGCGTCCTGTACCCGCACCGCAGGATCAAGATGACCAGCCTCCTGCCGCCCAAGCACGACGAGCTCGAGTCGGCCGGCGAGGCCACCGCGGCCGAGACGCCCGAGGGCGGCGCTGCAGCGGCAGAGACGGCCGCCAGCGAGGCCAGGGGCGATGTGGTCGCGAGCTTCGAGGAGGCGGGCGCCGAGTCCAAGGCCAAGGACGAGGACCAGACGCAGGCCAAGGACGAGGACCAGACGCTGGCCATCCTCCGGGGCCGGCAGGTCAGCATCGCCAACGTCGAGAACATGGTCGAGGAGCCCTTCAGCATCAAGGACAACAAGGTCATGCAGGCCCTCGTCAACGAGATTGTCAACACGTTCAAGGGCGTCGCGCTCCTCAACCCCATGTTCCGCGACCACGTCGCCACCTTCTCGGTCCACACCACCATGAGCGTGGGCGAGGACCCGGTCAAGCTGGCCGACTTTGCTGCAGCCGTGGCGCAGGCCGAGTCGCACGAGCTGCAGGCCACGCTCGACGAGATGGACATTGAGAAGCGGCTGAGGAAGTCGCTCGAGGTGCTGAAGAAGGAGCTCATGAGCGCGGAGCTGCAGAAAAAGGTCAGCGACGAGGTCAACAGCCGCGTTCAGAAGAAGCACCGCGAGTTCATCCTCATGGAGCAGATGAAGGGCATCAAGCGCGAGCTCGGCATCGAGTCGGACGGCAAGGACAGGCTGGTCGAAAAGTTCAACGAAAAGGCCGGTAAGCTGGCCATGCCCGAGGCCGTGCGCAAGGTCTTTGACGAGGAGATGAGCAAGCTCTCTGGCCTCGAGCCCAGCGGATCCGAGTTCAACGTGACGCGAAACTACCTCGACTGGCTGACGCAGCTTCCCTGGGGTCTCAGTAGCGCTGAGAACTTTGGCATCAGCCACGCCCGCGAGGTCCTCGACGAGGACCACTACGGCCTAAAGGACGTCAAGGACCGCATCCTGGAGTTCATCGCCGTCGGCAAGCTGCGTGGGTCCGTCGAGGGCAAGATTCTGTGCCTCGTCGGTCCTCCTGGTGTGGGTAAAACCTCAATCGGAAAATCGATTGCGCGCGCATTGGACCGCCAGTACTACCGCTTCAGCGTTGGCGGCATGTACGACGTTGCCGAGATCAAGGGCCACCGGCGAACGTACGTCGGTGCCCTGCCTGGCCGCATCATCCAGGCGCTCAAGAAGTGCCAGACTGAGAACCCGCTCGTCCTGATCGACGAGATTGACAAGCTTGGCCGCAACAGCAACCACGGCGACCCGGCCGCAGCGCTCCTGGAGCTCCTCGACCCCGAGCAGAACAACAGCTTCTTGGACCACTACCTCGACGTGCCCGTCGATCTGTCAAAGGTGCTGTTCGTGTGCACGGCAAACATGTCCGACACGATCCCCCAGCCCCTGCTCGACCGCATGGAGATGATTGAGCTGTCTGGCTACGTTGCGGACGAGAAGATTGCCATTGCCGAAAAGTACCTCGCGCCCGCAGCCAAGGAGATGAGCGGTCTAAAGGACGCCGACGTCGTCCTCGAGAAAGACGGCATCGTCGAGCTGATCAACAAGTACTGCCGCGAGTCTGGCGTCCGCAACCTGAAGAAGCAGATTGAGAAGGTCTACCGCAAGTCGGCGCTCAAGATTGTGACGGAGCTCGGCGAAGACGCCCTTCCCGAGTCCGAGGCGCTCACAGAACAAGGCAAGGCCGCCAAGGACGAGGCCGCCAAGGACGAGACGGACGTCAAGGAGACGCCTGATGGCATCGAAAAGCAAACGGCGCCCAAGCCCCGCGTCGCCCTCAAAGTCCCAGACACAGTCCACGTCTCCATCAACAAGGACAACCTCAAGGACTACGTCGGCCCGCCCGTCTTCACCGCCGACCGCCTCTACGACTTCACCCCGCCCGGCGTCGCCATGGGCCTGGCGTGGACAAGCATGGGCGGGTCCGCGCTCTACATTGAGTCAATCCTGCAGAACGCGCTCTCGGCGTCGTCGCACCCGGGCCTCGAGCGCACTGGCTCGCTGCGCGACGTGATGAAGGAATCAACCGGCGTCGCCTACTCGTACGCCAAATCCGTGCTCGCGCGCGACTTCCCCAAGAACCGCTTCTTCGAGCACGCCCGCCTGCACCTGCACTGCCCCGAGGGCGCGGTGCCCAAGGACGGGCCCTCGGCGGGTATCACCATGGCGAGCAGCTTCCTCAGTCTGGCCCTCGACACGCAGATCAAGGACTGCGTCGCCATGACGGGCGAACTCACGCTCACAGGCAAAGTCCTGCGCATCGGCGGTCTGCGCGAGAAGACCGTTGCTGCGCGCCGCGCCGGCGCGACAATGGTTATTTTCCCAAAGGACAACTTGAGTGATTGGCTTGAGTTGCCCGAGGTGCGTCTCCTGTCCCACGGCATTCTCGACATGCTACCCCCGTGACTCTGCTAACCCCCCGTAGAACATCAAAGCAGGCATATCCGGCCACCCCGTCGAATGGTACAGCCAAGTCTTCGACCTGATCTTCCCGCATCTCAACCGCGACGCGGCGAACCGCCTGTGGGAAAAGGAACTCAAGCCCAAAAAGGGCGATCGGAAGAGGAAGGAGCAGAAGCGCAAGGATGAGGACGAGGAGAGTGGTGAGGATGACGATTAGGGGGTGATGGTTGTGCAGCGGATAGGGGGTGGTGATTGTGCAGCGGATAGGGGGTGGTGATTGTACAGCGTATAGGGGGTGGGGATTGTACAGCGGATAGGGGGTGATGATTGCACAGCGTATAGGGGGTGGGGTAGGCATTGTACGATACGATATGATACGGTACGCTCTCGCATCAGCGGCGTTTGGGCTTGTAGATTAGAAGATGTAGCGTCAGCGTCGGTCAGGTGTGAATGAACGATGGATTCGTGTACATTTAGTTCCCAACTCGAGCACGAGCGCATGGCAACATGTGCGCCAAATCTGCCCACAGTCACCGCGTATCAAAGAGCTGACTAGTGCTGACTACATGGCTAGCCTGAGCGAAGACGAGGACGGGGCGGAGTGAAGGGTGACCCGTACCACTCGCTTGATGAGCAGCATTTCTTTGCTGCTGCGCTTGTACTAGGAACGGAGGAGGTAGGGAGGAGGTAGGCAGCTGTCCAGCAGTCCAACCAACCCGTCCGCGGACTACGTGCACGTGCAAGTTCCCCGGTACCCTGTCCCCGCGGTATTCACGGCGAAAGAGAGATGACGGGACGGGACGGGATGTAGTGAGGCGAGGCGTCTTGTGCGGTGTATACTCACTTACAACTTACAAGTTACTAGCCCAAGCCTTGTTGAAGCTGTCTACTGCTGCGTAGGATGCATGGGATCCGACCAGCGGCTCTTGCTGGGAACAGGGTAGGGTGGGTTCTGAGGTATGGGACGAAGCGGCTTTGGACTAGGGAGCTCGTGGTGGTGCCGACTACAGCCGAATGACTGAGTCCTCTCTGCTAGCCAAGGTTTACATACGCCATCACTGCCAGAGGCGCGCGTTTGACGATCGAGTGGGGAGGTTTAGGAGGGGGTAGAGAGGTCCCTGATTCTCCTTCATTTCATATCTGTTAAGATACGCAGAGACATGCATAGCTTGTCCATCTCCCTGCTAACCGCTTGTCTGAAAGGAAAGGAGATGTGGCGAATCTAGTGCTGTATCTAGTATACACCTTGTACAATCCTAGCTCGTGAGTATGTAATTCTATAAGCTGTGACATCCCTTCTCTCTACCACATACCACGCGCTTCCATGTATAAAAGCATTAGCTTAAGACAGAGACAGTGAAACATGCGATACTATTCTCACGGCTGTATAGGACTATCCACGTAGCAATACGAAGTCACTGACTATGCTACAGAGATCTAGACCAGACTGCTCTAGTGCGTTGTAGGCACGCATGCAGTACATCACGGTCTCGCGCAGCACAGGACATAGCTCAGTAGATAGATGGTCAGCGCAGCGCAAGGTCTGGATTTGCGTTCATCTGGAACCGTTATTTTATCGCAGACATGGCATCTCGATCCTTCGCACGCGCACCTATCCAAGCCCACAACCCGCCCATCACCCGCTCTCCGCCGCCTCCACAATAACCCGCGCCACCTCATCAACCTTCGACAGAAAAGGACTGTGACTCGCCTCCACCGTCGTCTCCCTGAACTGCGCTCCGCTCCCCTGAACCATACCCCGCTGCACCTCCAACGGAATAGCATTGTCCAAGGTACAAAACACAAAACTACACTTTACCTCCCTATACGGCGCCCATGTCGTCTTCTCCCCAAACATGCGATAACTAAACACCTCTAATTGCTCAATCTGCTCCCGCTGCTCCTCCTCGCTTAAATCATTATAAAACACCCTCGCAGGATCCTCCGGCTCGACCTCGGTCCCGCTCTCGCTGACGCGGAACCACGGCAGATCCGTGCCGCCCAGGGCGTCTAGCAGGCTCATCGATGGGGGCAGGACGAACGCGGATATATACACGACATGCACCACACCCCCCCTCTCTCCCGCGGCGGAGCGGTCGCGCAGGAGCAGGTCTTTCATGGCTTCGCCGGCGGGGAGGGAGCCATACGAGTGCGCTGCGACGACGATGTGTTTTCCAGCGTCGGCCAGGGTGGTGATGGCGGTGCGGATGTTGGATATGTCGCCGGCCCAGGACTGCAGGCCGGGCACGGCGCCGACGGATGCGAGGTCTGCGGTTGCGGTTTCGTAGCCCTGCGCGGTGAGGTTTTGGATGAGGGGGGTGTAGCATGTGGCTTTGTGCCAGGCGCCGGGGACGAAGAGGATTGTTGGTTTTGGGGACATGGTTGCTGATGTAGTAGTGTATTCGCCTGATCGATTGCACAATTCACCTCGCAGTTTGGCATGTAACAATTGTCAACTCCTACCGTTCCCCCGTTTCTTCGTTCTCGACGACCGCGAGACCCTGGCGGGGTACCTCGGAGACCCTCCGTGCACCAAGCTTAGCTGGGATAGCGAGGTTTGCATTTCGGCACCGAAGCTCACATCCGATGACGTTGCGAGGAATTGAATGATCGGCGTCGGATGGGGTACTGCACGCCATGGACGGTCCGATCCGCCGTCTGTGCGGTCCTTGGGTCGGGCGTAATGCGAACGTTAGGCCGAGGCTGTCTGACGGTGCGGCAACCGATGGACTGAGAACTTTTGTTCAATTGACTATAAGAGATGAATACTACGAGGGAGAGGCGGCAAGTGCGCTTCAAAAAGAGGGAAAATGTGCCCAACGCCATGGTAATGCTGACCCTGCATCTCGACACCGTGCGCTAGAAAGAGATCAGCAACCCTCTGCAGGACTAATTTTTGGATGTTGGCTGGTCGGTTCGAGTCCGAGTCCACGCTCAGCATGGCACCACTCGCTTCTCAAACGCCCCGTTGATTCTACTCATCAGCAAGCAGCGGCGCGCGCTCGCGGTCCTCGTTGACAATCTGGCCGCGGGGGAACAGATCACGGCCCAACAACCCCGGCACGCCGACGGCAAGCGAGAGGACGAAGAGAAGCCCGCCAATGGTAAAGGCGAAAATCCACTGCAACTGCAGAATTGGCAGCTTGCTCAAGAACTGGCCAACACCAGTCGCTATTCAATTAGCGCAAGCCCCAAGACGGGTAAGCGGGGGCGGGAGGACTCACAGAAACTCAACACCGACAGCGCAAAGCCCATGGTGTAGTCCTTGTACGCAGCCAGGAAGAACACGCCATACCCAAGCCATCCCCAGATAAACACATTAGCCACAATGCGACCAGCAAGATGGGTGCTATGAAATGCCACAGCGCCAACCCAGTACAGCGCGACGAAGTTCCACGCCAGCGGGCCCGCAATCGTGCCGATGTGGATGGCGCGCGGGGTGGTGCTGTGGCGGAAGTAGGCGAAGCTGAGGTTGAAGAAGTTGATGACGAGCAGCAGCTCCGCGAGCCAGAAGTGCGAGCGCACCCACAGGTGGATGAAGCCAAAGAGCAGCAGGTTCGAGGTGATGTAGTGCGTGCCGATGTTGGCGGCGGCGATGAGGTAGGTGGTGTTGCTGGACCAGAGGGAGTAAGCGTAGACGAGCTGCAGGACGAAGAGGACGATCCTGTGACGAGTTAGAAGTTGAAATGTCAGTCAGATCGGTGCTGGGTACCAGTATATGCTGGTGATGATGCTGCTCTGCGCGAACGGCGTTGCAGGCTGATGCTGCCAGAAGCGGTGGTGTGGGCCGTGGCCTTCGTTGGGCTGGTTGAAGGAGTAGTAGAAGGCTGTGACGAGCAGGATCGTGTAGGAAAGGCCCGTGGAGATCTTGTAGAGAAGAATGGACTGGTTGGAGAACTCCTCGCGCCGCGCGAAGGGGTTGTTGGATCCCGAGTTCTCAGACATTTTCACTGCTATTGGGGTGAGTTTGTGCTGATTGCTGTGTCGGAGAGGTGCTGGTTGCTGTGTTGGAGAGGTGCTGACGGCGAGAGGAACTGACGGCAAGGGGAGCTGACAGCAGCTCGGGTTATATTGATATCAAGCTACTTTAGCCTGCATACAGCCACGCCATTCCGCCCACGAGATTCGCACCTACGTCATCCCAAACTCGCGTTCTAGCTTGGCCTGGACCCCGCTTCATGTACCGCTTCGCACCTGCCGCGTGACAGCATCGCGCGCTAGCCATTGGTTCCCGAGGCAACCCTGCATGTGACACACCTGAGCACCTACTGCACTTACTGCGAGCACGCATGAAGTGGCAACTGTACGGGCGTCGTTCATTCTCTGTCGTGTTCCCGCAACCACGGAGAGGACCAGTGCATGCGTGTCTCAATCAAAAATGCTACAAAGAGAACAATGGGAACAAAACTTTAGATTCTAAGAAGGGTATCTCTATCTCTACAAAATACAAGAACGGCAAGGTCTAGCAAAGGGCGCCTGGGGCGCCTGATTCGCGCACCCCCGTCGCGGTAAGCGCGCCGACTTGTTGGGTGATTAACTTAACCTGTGAGCGCCGCGCTCTAGTCCCACCAATAAACGCCAAGTTTGGTATCGATTCTCAGGTGAGCTGTCTAGCGAGCTGGTGTGTCGGGTACTTCCCAAACGTCCTTGTGGTTCTCCGTCTTGGCCGCCGGAGGAGCAGCCTGTTGTGGAGCGGGTGGAGGAGCGGGGACGGCGAAGGGGATCGTGCTTGTTGCGGAGAAGACTGGCAGATCCTGTCTCTTGGCCGGTGATATGGGACGGGATGCCGTTTTTGGTGGTGTTACTGCTGTGTCGGTGTTTGGGGCCAGCCATTGTAAGGTTGCGGACGCCTGAGGCTCAGAAGTCGGCGGCACGTTTGCTAATGGGGCAGCGTCGAAAGAGTAAGCATTGTAGTTCACAAACTGCAAGCCGGTAGCTGGCGGTGGTGGCGGAGGCGTATCAGCGCGTTGGGGAGGTGTCATGTCAGTTGCTTCTGTTGCTGCTACGAATGCAGGCAAGGGCAGCTGCTCACGGAGCTGTTCTGGGGTAATAACGGAATCTCTGAGGTCGGTTGGGGGCTCGATAATAGGGCCGGAGCCACGCCGACTAGCCTCAGACACACTGTTGAACAGGGTCTCTGGTGGGTTTATAGGGGGGTTCGACTGCTCTGCCAAGTTGGAGACGGACTCGAGATGTACTGGCTCTGGTTGTTGAAGCGGTGCCACGGCCGCGCTCTGCAACTGAGGTGGCTCGGGAGGCATGGTCGGCGCTGGTGTAGTAGCAGGCGACGATGTCTTTGACCTTGATCCACGGCCCTTCTTTATAACGCCAGCAGCAGGTTTAGCAGCTGTCTTGGTAGCTGTAGTACGGCTGGCGGGCGATTTGCGCGAGGCTTTCGCGGCCGGCTTCTTTGGGCCTTCGAGAGCCTTCTGCGCTTCTTCCTTCGCCTTCTCCCGCGCCTCGTACTCTTCTCTCGAGGGCATCTTCAGTGTGACCCGCTTCAGACCCGAAGTCAACGAGTCCATGTCGTCGTTCTCTTTGTCCCTGGCAGTGGCCGCTTTGCTGGTAAAGGCAGATGGCACACGCGGTATGGGTGGTCGCTGAGGGGCGCGAGCCGAAGCCGCATTTGTTGTGCCACGACCCTTCTTGACTGAAAGGCCATTCGAGAGAGCAGTCGAAGGCACAACGCTAGGCCTCCTTGAATTTGATGGAGGAACACTTGGAGCACGGCTGACGCTACGATCGCCGATGGAAGACACACTGGATGCGATGCTCATCCGACGCGACTTTGATGGAGTTGGTGGAGGGTCGGCTGCTGTCAGTTGGAAGTCAGCAATGGTCTGTCGACGGCTCGAGCGAGACCCAGGACGATGAGCCTTCTCATCGTCAGAGCCATGATCGGTATAGGTTGTAACAGGTTTGCGGCCGCGTAGTTGTCGACCTGATGTATCGATCTTTACAGAGGTCAATGCTGGAGCAGCGGGCTTCTCCTTCTTGACTTGTGGAGGAGCAAGTTCTTCAGGCCTGCAACTCCTGGTCTGACGATCAGCAGGTATGAGCAACGCACTCAACGCATGCGCTGCGGTTGCCCAATCGACATCCGGAGGAGGTGGGGTGATCGGCCGTGAAGGATTGACGGGCACACCCCGGCCAGGCTGCAAATGCGAGAGCTTCGTTGGATCTACGACCTTGGCGGTGAAGGACTGCGTGGGCGAAGAGAAATGTGCCAGAGGTCCCTGGTTGGTCTTCTTGCGAGCGATTGGAGGTGGAGGATTGATCAGATTCTCCAACTCGGTGAGATGTGTAGCATGCCACCACGATGGATCGTACGTGACTGGTGTCAAGTTGGCCTCGACTGACTGTACGGGCGAACCGTCATCTGTGATGCTGAGCCCACTCAATCTCTGTTGCATGTCAAAGGCAAGTCCAGTGGTGGGATTGGCGTCGTGATACACCTGACCATCCGTAAGACCGCTGATGTGGCTCATGACTCCGCTAGCCAGGGCTCTGTCACTGTAGCCGCCTTCCAGCACAGAGATGACGCGGCCGTCGACCGCAGTGCCTTCTTCTTCGGCTAAACGTACGACGTCTCGAGTGAAGCGGGCGTAGAACTCTGTTGGCACATTCACAGCGTGTCGTTGCATGCCTGCCGTCTCCCACTCGCTGGCGTCAAAGCCGGCAGACAAGAAGATGGCCGCTTTGGGGGTTGGCTGATTCGGCCCGCTTCTCAGACGCTTCGTGTGGAACTTGAGGTACTGACGAGTCTTGTCGAGCAGCACAAGATACTTGTCCTCGTAGATCGCCCAGAACTCCTCTGGTGTCTTCCAGGACTGGAGGTGTACGTTCCAGATTGACTGGCCGTGGGCATTGTCGATGCAGAGGCTTGCTGCCTGGACCTTGTCGTCATCGCCGTCCTCGCACGGGTACGAATTGATGTCGTGCAGACTAAAGTAACCAATGGACGTCTTCTTGCGATTCGCTGTGCCTTTTGGCATGTTCTGGACCTTCTTATTCCGTGCCCAGGTAATGGCCTGCGAGCCGTCCCCGTGGTGCAAATCAAAGTCGATGATGGCCGCGTGTGTCAGACCGTACTGCATCATGGCGTGTTCGATACCGACGTGGACATTGTTCAGCCAGCAAAATCCGGACGGGAAGTCTGCCGAGCAGTGGTGGCCGGGCGGTCGCACGCAGACAAAGGCGCGAGAAGGGCCGTCCCCAAAAGCAGTGCCCTGGAACACTGCATCCACGGCATCCAGAACGCCACCGAGCGCGCCTTGGAAAGCGTTCAACGACTCTTCGCAGAGATACAGGTCTCCAGAATGGAATTCGTGTTTCGGCGGCTGTCCCGGGGCTGCTGGTGCGTCTCTGGCCAGCTCTCTTCCTGTGGTAGCCAGCTTCTCGCCTGCATTTTCGCACAGAGACTTCAGCTCCTGCATCCACTTTGTGCCATGAACGTTCGTCACGACAGGCAATGTGACGTCGACCAGTCGTGAGGTCTTGCGAATCGTGAAAGGTATGCGCTCGGGTGGGTTCTGATCAGGGTGCAACGGGTGGTGGCCGTCTGCATGTCGCCCGCCAAGACGCACGTATGCTGTCGAGATTCCCAGGACGCTCGCAAGTATGCGCTCCGGGCGCTCCATGATCAGGCTGAGCATGTTCTTCGGCGTCTTCGGTCGCGAGTATCGGTGTCCATAGCATTGGTCGTGGACGATGACGATTGTGCCCGCCTTTGCTGTCCCACCCGCGCCCTCGTGCCGCGCCAGGTCCTTCCTGAAGTGCTCCTCGGCGATGTCGCATGCGCGCAACGGCAGCTTCTCCTCGAAGTGCGGCTGCAGCGGGCTCTTGGCCCCGATTGGCGAAGGCATATTGGGTGCGAACGACGGCCTGCGAGATGCCGCGCTCCGGGGCGTGCCGGTCGAGTCGCCGCGCAGCGACGAGCTGGAGGATTTGCGGCCAAGGGCGAGCAATGGTGCAGGCGACGAGGCGCGGTTCAGGCTTGCCGTGCTGGAGCTGCGGCGGAGAGTGGGAAGAGGCGAGGACGGCGTGCGGGCCTTTGGCAGTCTAGGCGAAGCGGGGCCAGGCGAAGGTTCCCGCAGGTTGCTGGTGCCTGTGTGCAGTGAAAGGCGCTTGACCGGGCGCGAGACCGAGCTGGGCTCATTGTTGATGTGGCGCGGACCTCCTCGTGGCGTGACGTCTTTTCCCACGCCAGGCGACGGCGCCGGCTGGTGGCTCTGCATTGCTGCGGGGTCTCAGCGCGTCGGCGGCGCGTGATTGTTGGCGTGTCAATGTTTTGGTGGGGTGTTTCAGTGTTGTCGAGACGCTATCCTGGCCGGATGACGGTTGTTTAGGGGTCCAGTCCGTGCGTCAGACACGCACCTCTTTCCGCAGAGACCTGACGACACCTTCACCTGCTCGACAAAGTCCGCTCCACGCGGGTGGGTGTGGAGCCTGACGGGCTCAGTAGAGGGCATTGCATCGCCCACTCAAGACAGCACCAGCAAGTCACAGCAGCTAAGAAAAAACGGACTCAAGAACGAGGTTTCTGCATATCTAGTACTTATATCTCAACTCCAAATTCTCCCTATCAGTCAAGTCGCCGAACCCTCCATCCCCCTGATTCCATTGCATGTCGCCCTCAGCGTCGCGCCGGCGATTCTCCCAGCGGTAGTAAACGAGCAAGACAGCCACTGCGCAGAGCACGGTGGCTTCGACTGCTACGATGGTGATTTTTGCGGGGGTGTAGTTGGGTGCGTCTTCGTTGCGGAACGTCAGTGGTCCGAGGATGTTGCCTAGGCAGAAGGACATGAGCAGGATGGCGTTCATTGTGACTTTCTTGCTGTGGCCCTGTGTGCTGTTAGTACACCGATACGACATTGACTAGACTGTCTTTGCGAATCTTACGGCAAAATTGCAAGCCGCAAAGGCATACGCGAGTGGTAGGAAGGAGCCGGTCGTGTTCGTCAGGTAGTTGCCTGCCAGTCTGCCAGCTCTGCTGCTGGCGGGTAGAAAGGCGATCATGCCGCCGCCAACGATGCCACCCAGCGCTGCCCATGTAGCGAGCATGAAGCCACGGCAGTTATAACGGCCGGCGATATAAGTGCCAATCAGCGTGCTAATCGCCGTGATCAGACCGCCGGGTATCTGAATGAGCGCGGTCTCCTTGTTTGAGAAGCCGAAACCGGAGATGATGACGCTCTGGAACGACGACACAGCGCCGTTGGGTATGCTGGCTGCTGTAGTGATGAATGCCAACAGCCAGACTTGAGGGTCGCAAAGGGCCTCTCGGAACTGGTACGGTTTGAACGTCTTGTTTTCGATACCAGTGTTGTTCTCGCGGAGACGCGACACAGCCATGATTTTCTCTTGGTGCGTCAACTTGCTCGACATTGGGTTGTCGGGTAAAAAGAGAATGACAGCAACACCCGCAGCGATTGTGACGAGACCGACCACAAGGTACATGATCTGCCAGTTAGTGAACTTGTCGCCGGTATAGTGTTGAAAGCCGAATGAGATGAGTGAGCCAACCATCACGGCCACACCGACGCCGAGGTACCAGAAGCCAATGCGCTTGGGCTGTTCATCACGCTTGTACCACATCGACGTGACGAGGATCAACGACGGGCTGATTGCCGACTCGAAGGCGCCGAGAAGGAAACGACAGACTGCGAGAGACGCGTAAGAGTCGCATGCCGCGGTGCAGGTCACTTGACGACGATCAGTTGCTAGTCTTCGAATTCGTAGTGCGCAGGACTACGTACCGACAGTACCCCAAGCACAGACGCAACCGCCAAGGTACTTTGCGGTTGGCAGTCGCTGCATGAGGTATGCATGCGGCATCTCGAAGATGAGGAAGGCGAGATAGAACAGCCAGGACAGCGTGCCATACTGCTCAGTTGTCAGATTGGCATCCTCTCTGATGCCCATCACTGCAGCGAAGTTCACTGTGGCATGTGAGCAGCGAGCCAGAAGCCGGAAGGCAGTCGAGCTTACAGAGCGACTTGTCCAGGTATTGAAGGAAGTAGCAGGCGAACATGATGGGCACGATCATCCAGTCGATCTTCTTGACCAGTGTCTTCTCATCGATGTCGACGACGGTACCTTCTTCGTGTTCGTCATTGACGCGGAGAAATTCGAGGGCTCTGTCTGCATCCTTGTATGCGCCTTTCGGTGGGGCCTTTTCATCGACCTCGATTGGGTCCTTGGCCTCATGTGCGTGCATCGTAGTGGGTGCTGCAAATCTGCTGCTTCGGCTTGCCCATGTTCACCACCGGCACGCGAGCCCTCATATACTCCTTGTCACAAAACCCATGTCTAAATCCGTGTCCTCGGAGTCGATAGACACCGTGTTGTCAGGCATGATATCGTTCGCTATCTCAGCCCCACATTCCTCATCCGGAAGGAGATGGGATCAGTCCGCCCAGTAGAGAGCTGTCGAGCACTGAGAACGAACCAACAGCAATCGTCCGGTGGACATCACCCCGTAGATCAGAGGCGGCTGAAGGGTCCCGCCGCGGGGATAAGATACCTTATCGCAGTAATGGGGTAGCGGTGCTCTGGGTTGCGGCCCACGGCAGTTGAAATGGAATCACCGAGGTTGTTGTCACGGGCGGATGGAGGAGAGAGGTTGTCATCGAGGAGAGAGGTTGTCATCGAGGAGAGAGGCTGTCATCGAGGTCGGCAATGGCATCGACGTTGTTTGATCCTCCGTCTTTCTTCACGGATGCGTGAGTTCGTTGAATCTGTAACTGGGTATGTGCAGGTGTGACGTCACGCTACGTTTGCGAGAACGGAGCAACAGCCCGTCAACATTAGATATCGGATTTGGTGTATATACCTACATTAGCAGCTCTTCAGCCACCGCACTCACAGTAACAGATCCTGATTCCCGTCTGCTCCTCCCGAGCTCATTACAAGCGACTGGGGCGCGTTCTGGTTCACGACCCAGCCACCACCCATCCCAGCATGGTCTTCTGCGATAGGTGATCCACCAAACGTACTTTGTCGGCCAACGTTGGCAAAGTACATATCGGCGTCGCTTACTGCAGCTGACATGTTGCCGTTCATCGGCGAGAGTTGGCCGTTGCCGTTGGGTGCCGTGTCGATGCGTGAACGGTCCGCTGCGGCGCGCTGGCGTGCTAGCTCCGCGGCTTTGACAGTTGGCAATTCGTGCCGCTGCAGTGCGGGAGAGTCGACTATTTTGCGAGGACGAGCGCTTCTGAAGACCTGGTTGACTGGCTTTAGGTACACGGTTGCGAGCGTGCCCACGTTGAGGCACATTTCTTCAAGCGTCCCAGGGTCGAGCTTCTCCGACTCCTCGGCCGTGATGGCAGGCTTCTCGCCCATGACGACCTTTTTCGCCTCCTCGGGCGCAGATGACAACAACCGCCAGTACATGTACCCTCGATCTCGCAGATCTGGGTTGTCGGTCTCTTCTGTTGCCCACTTCAGCACCCTGGGTACTAATGCGGAGCCTTTTGTCGGTCGCTGGATGAACAGCTTCACTGTGGCTGTAAGAAGGGCGAGTTGCACTTCGTGTGTTTCCTCCTGGAACGAGTCGAGAAAGTCTTCGAGGAGGACATCGGAGTCTTCGATGCGGTCGGCGTACTGGCCAATGACCCAGATCATGGCAGCCTTGGCCTCTGGCTCGTCGAGCGAGTCGAGATTCTCGCACAGTGTTGAGATGATCGACTCGTACTGGTTGGGGTACTTTCGGAAGATGTTGCGGATGACCACCGTAGCCTCCTGTACAATGTACGAGACCTTTGTGCTGACAAGCGAGAGGAGGGTGCTGATGCACAGTTGCGCTGCAGGTGCAATCTTGATGGCCAGCTTGCCAATGGCGCGCACCGACTTGCGCACAAAGTCGACATCGATCTCGGTGGCGTACCTGCTCAGATCAGTAAATGCAATTCGCCAGAGTCTGGGCCATGACGTACTCTGCAAGCTCTGTCAGCACCTCCTTGATGTTCCTCTCCGTTGCCAACATGAAGATGAGCTCGAGCTTGGTGACCTTGACGTAGATGGGGTCGTTGTACTTGCAGAAGAAGACGCGAATATCGTTGCGCAGCACCTCTGGCCGCCGCTGCAGGATAAGCAGGGCGTTGCGAAGAGCAAGGTACTGGATCTCGGGGCCCTTGGAAAGAAGCGTGACGAGGGGCGGCGAGAGCTTGTTGCACAAAGATGCAATGACCTTGTGGTCGGAGATGTAGTTCATTAGGTACAGAATCACACGGATGCAAGTCAGCACCACGGCGGAGTTGGTGTGCGACAGACGCGGCGATATGCGCTCGGCGAGCAGGGCGGCTTCAGACGATTCTTGGGGAACGTAGTTCATCATGGCTTCCATGATGTACGTCTGGCCCCACTCTGAGCAGTCTGCCAGGATGGAGACAATCTTGGAGGCACTCGCATAGTCGATGGTGAGCTTGATGTTCTCGCTCCTCTCCCAAATGTCCATCAGGCCGGCCAGTGCGCTGGACACGACGGTGGGGTTCTCGTCGCGCAGCATGCCGTTCAGCTTGTCGATCAGGTCCGAGGCCTCGACCAGGTGTCGGTCGTGGTCGTAGAGCTTGGCGACGCAGAAGGCGGCTGTCTTGCGCACGTAGGGGTCCGAGTCGCGCAGAAGGTTCTTGAGGTGCGGCACCGTGGCCTCGACGTACTCGCGGACGTGGACGTAGGACATGGTGCGCAGGGCAAGCGCCCGCACCAGCGGGTTATTGTCGTGCATGTCCTCCTGGATAATGGGCAGCGCCTTGAGGGCAATGTCGGGTTTTATGCGGGCATAGTTGACCAGATACAGGAAGCACCTGGCGCGGTCAGCGGGCGGCCGTTGCGGGCGCACGCACGGCAGACGTACATCTTCTTGATCTCCAGACTCGGAATGTGCATGCAGCCGACAATGTCCGGGAACAGGGCGACCATGTCGTTGTTGCTCATGGTCATGTTGGCGACAATCTTCTTCAGCGCCGTCTTCTTGGCGGCAAAGTTCTTGTCCTTTTTGCCGCCGCTGTTCAGCTCGAGGCGCAGCTCCGCTACTTTGCCCTGTGGTGTGCGGAGGCACTGTGAGCGCGGGCTATCGGGCGCGGGCCGGGGCGTGAACAGAAGAGGGGAGGACGTACCCTCGCAAAGAGCTTCGCATCTTGGCCGCCCTGGCTCATGGCGGGCTGGCTATCTCGAATGCGCCCGCTTGGCGTGCCCTCTGCGCATAGATGTGCCTGGCGGTGTCAGGGCCCAGACAGCTCCGCTGCTGTGGCGTTGTCGCCGCTGCTGTGGCGTTGTCGCCGCTGCTGCGCCTTGGATGGACTGCGGGGCTCGACAGGTGAGGGCGTTGGTCGCGTTGGTCGATTGCGGCGGTATCGCGTCGCGGGTCGTGCAAGGTCTCGGGGGTGTTTGGAGGGCGGAATGCTTGCACTCGGCGTCTGTCAGGGACGCTTTGCGGAGACGTCGGGGAAGCGCTTGGACTGGGACGCCAAGCATGGGACGCCAAGCATGGGACACCGGTAGGTCCGCTGCAGACGATGCTCACCACCACGGACGCATAGATCACGAACATCAGCCCCGCATTATTGCTGCCACCACCAGACCCGGACGACTATCTCGACGGCACCGCACCGCACACCCCGCACACCCCACGCACACCACACCACACCATGGCCCCGCCTCCGCCCCCACAATGGGTCGTCGACCTCAACTCGGCGCCCGCGTCCAAGCCCAAGAACGCGTCGCTGCCAGACCCGCCGGGCTACACAGCATCCATGACCCGCAAGGAGCGTGCGTTGTCCTCCAAAAAGTCACGTGTGCCGCCTACGCCCGAGGAGATGGACACACTGAAGATGAAAAAGGCCTGGGAGGTCGCCATAGCCCCCGCCAAGCAGCTGCCCATGAACGCATTTGGTGCGCTCCACCTCAGACAGGAAGGCACGACCGCCATACTGACCACAACCAGGCATGTACATGACCGGCAACTCGCTGCAAATCTTCTCTATCTTCATGGTCTTCACCCTGTTCAAGACACCCGTCATGGCCGCACTCGGCATCCAGCGCACATTCGCCCCCTTCGAGACACCCGGCACAGCTGGCCGCCTTCTCGGCGTCAAGGTCGTCTACATTCTCACGAACCTGCTCATGCTCGCCCTCGGCATCTGGAAGGTCAACGCCATGGGGCTGCTGCCGACGACACGGTCAGACTGGCTGGCATGGGAGGGCGAGAGGACGTGGTCGGAAAGAGCCGTGCCCAAGGAGTGGATGTGAAGGAACGAGGTAGGAAGCGGCATTGCACGGCGTTGGTGGTAGAGGTCCGAAGAGCCTTTTTTTGTTTCTTCTCAACGCCTGAGCGGCCCCACAATCAACACAACATTGCAGCACATTATGACTGTTTGCCTATCCACGTCACTCGAGCCAACGGGAGCATGACTCCCTACAACGGACGTAGATAATACCTCAAGTCCTGCAGGACTGCGCAAACAACCTGACAGGCGAGGGCCTGGTGTGCTACCCCATGAAGGTTCTTTGGCTTCGGCCAGAGACCTGCTTCTGGACCGCGTGCGAACAAGGGTGAAAGAGTGGTTAGACGAGCAGATAGTCGCTCACCGCAAATACCAATCACAGACCGCATGAATGTCCCGCTCCTACATGTGAGTCGAGCTCGAGCCCCAGAACAGGGATCGACAGGTACATGGTCTATTCTGGCTAAACACCAGTGACATGATCCGACTATACCAGAACAGGCAACTGCCTGTACATGTCCCCGGCACACACTCTACAATGTATTGCGGTGCCAGAGCATACCCTATTGCGGGGTCGTATTCGCCAGACCCCAGGTTTGTGAGTGATCTAGATCTCCACATGTTCTTGAGAGTCCATGAGGCGTCATGGACGGTCGTGTGTAAATGGCATGGACAGTCGTGTGTAAAAGGCATGGACAGTCGTGTGTAAAAGGTAGTGCGTGGAGCGCACCACAAGGTATCCCTCTATCCCACGTCTCTCCCCTACTTGCCCGTTATCAAGGGCTTCCTATATCTGAGTTATGCGCTTCTCACTCTTGTCTCCTTCTCTAATGCTCGCCCCGGCATGGGCGACACCGTGGCAGCAATGCGGCGCGAAGCTAACAAAGTCAAGCGCGCAGAGTCCAAGCAGCTCATCGGCGACCTGCGGACGCTCAAAGACACGCAATTGGCCTCCATTGGCAAAGACATCAAAGCCATCCTCCTCAGCCAGCCCAACGCCGAATCCAACATCATCGACACGTCTATCCCCGCCGGGTCTCTTGGCAGCGCAGCTTGCAAAGCTGACCTCTGCTGCGACTGGAAGCGGATCAGCTACGAGATGACGGCAAAGTCCAACGGCACATCCGGGCGCTGCACCAAACTCGCCCGTCAAGCAGTCCGCCTCGGCTTCCACGACGCAGGCGTCTGGTCAAATCATCCGCCGACGGCTCCATTCTGCTCACCGACGAAATCAGCTGCGCAGACAACAACGGCCTCGCCGCCATCGCAGACCTGGTACATGAATATGCAGACCTGGTACAAGAAATACGCAAACCTGGTACAACAAATACGCAGATCTGGTACAAGAATATGCAGACCTGGTACAAGAAATACCCCCCCCACGGCGTCGGCATGGCAGACCTCATCCAAATGGGTGCCAACGTCGCCAACGTCATATGTCCCCTCGGGCCGCGCATACGCTCCTTCGTCGGGCGCAAGGACAACAGCCGCGCCGGACCCACAGGCCTGCTACCAGGCTACACCGACTCAGCAGGCACTCTGCTCAAGCTATTCGCAGCCAAGACAATCGACGCCCACGACCTCGTCGCCCTGGTCGGCGCACACACCACATCTCAACAGCACTCCGTCGACCATACGCGCGAAGGCGACCCCCAGGACAGCACGCCGGGGATCTGGGATATAGAATCCTACTCCGAGACCACGGGCGCCGCGGCCCCGCGCGTCCTGCGCCCCGCATCCGACATCAACCTGTCCGAGGATCCGCGGCCCGCGCCCGAGTGGGCCGACTTCAGCGACCCCAGCTCCGGACAGGAGCACTGGAACGACGACTACGCGCCTTGGTCTGCTGGGCATGGCGAATATTAACGACCTCAGGGAGAGCACAAAGGTGCTGCCGCCACATCGCGCGAGGTATGTTGCGCCTGACCAGCCGATTTTGGACTTGTGGCTGCAAGGGCAGTTTGATCAGCTGAATAATTTGGTCGACGATGCAGTTATGCTTACGGACGTTGGTGCGGGAGGGAGTGGGACGGTCATCATCCCGTGAGGGTGGTGGACAGGGCTGTTCTGCCAGGGCGTAAACTCAATTCGTCCCAACGTCGAGGATATGCAGTAGAATCACATCATCACCCTACTCACAATCTACCTCACAAACGCCCCTCCTCCACTCGCGCTAAGTTGATTCCCCGTCATCCACCCACTCTCCGGCAAACACGCAACCCCCACAATCCCCGCAACCTCCTCCAGCGTCCCAGGCCTCCCCCCAATCTCCCCTGCCAGCCTGAGCATCTCAGGCGTATCAACACCCGGCCTCTCCCTCGCAAGCGGAATAAGCGCATTGTACAACCTCAGCGCCTCGCGCGGCTCATCCGGCAGCCCATTCAAGAGCCCCGTGTCCATGGGCCCCGGAGAGACAGCGTTGACGGTTGCGCGCTCAGCGAGCTCGCGCGCCCAGACGCGCGTCATGGCTTCGATGGCGCCCTTTGTGCCTGCGTAGGACGTCTGCTGGATCAGGCCCCATGTCGTGGTTGCCGAGGAGATGTTGACGATGCGGCCCGAGCGGTCGGTGGGCAGGTAGGGAAATGCTGCTTTGATGAGCAGCGCGGGTGCGCGCACGTTCAGATCGAAGGTTTGCTGGAAGAGGTCGATGTCGAGCTCGTTGATGGGCTGGGCGTTGACGATGGCCGCGTTGTTGATTAGGATGTCGATTTGGAAACGGCCGTTTTTGGTGAAGTGGGCTTTTGCGGCGTCGATGAGGGCTTGTGGTGCTGAGGCGTTGAGGAGGTCGGCGCGCACGGCGAGCGCGGTGATGTTGTGTTCTGTCGAGAGCTTGGTTGCGAGGTCCCGGGCGCGGGCGTCCGAGGCGGATGTTGCATAGTTGATTACTACATTGGCGCCGCGCGAGGCGAAGTGTGTTGCGAGAGCGGCGCCGAAGCCTGAATGCGATCAGTTTGTGTTTGATATAGGTTGGAATTGTGTGAACTTACTGCGAGATGCGCCAGTGACGATGGCGAGCTTGCCCTCAAAGACCCTGGGAGTAGACATGATTGATGATTGAAATTTAGACGTCCTTGAATACTTTGCTTGCTATTCTCGATGCTCAACACCAAATTTACTGCACCGTCACAACGCGGGGCAGATCCAGCTTTGTACCCCCTCCTCTTCGTGATCCTTCAGCTACCCTGCGGTGGAGACAAGGCGGTGTGAAGCGATGTCGCGGCTCCAGCGCAACTTCGGCACAACTTCCACTTCCGCGATGGGAGAGGCGTTTCAAGCGCAAGCGATATCCATGGTCGACCGTCGAATGAAAACTAGATTGCGGCGTACCTGAGCCGATCGCCATCTGGTGGAGTGGGTCGTGGGTAAATTGTCCGAAAAAGCGCCACACGCGAGCGCGCGACAATCTCGTATCAGGCCCTTCTACGTGGCGTATGTCAGATCTAAAGGAAGAAGAAAGCGACACTTGCTCTGAGGAAATACCCAAACTGGATGGTGGTTGCGATCAGGATCACGAACCCTACGACGATGGTGAGGCGGATAATCTCATCGGAGCGCCCCTGCCTGCATACGTAAGCCCCGAAAGGTCCACTTCATCGCCTAGCGTTTCGAGGCGGTCAAATGATTCAAATCCATGCCGGAAGCCGGTCCAGATCCTGGCATTAAGGCCTGGATACCACGGCAGCACACTCCGGTAAGTGTGTCGTGCAGGTTGGCATCCTTCGCGTATTCAACACATTTGAAATGGTTTGTCGAGTAGAAAATGCACAATTGCTGCGCATAGAACTCGAACAAGTTGCATCTAGGTGTTCTGACAGGTGAGTGGCCGAATGAAGTTGACATAGAAATCTTACGCATCCTCCAGGATCCGGGGGGTACTTCCGGCGTGGCTGAAAAGATGATCGCGCCATGTCAGACCATGTGCGGGCCAGATCCCGTTCCGCCCATTGTCAATGCCAAACTCCGATGTAACCTGTGCCTAGACGTGTGCCCGAAAGAGCAGCTTGGTGGAAGATCCTGCTGCACTGGGACCGGGAGCGCGTGGTCATTCCGTCTTGGTATTGGAGGGATGCAGGGTGAAGAACTTGAGGACTTGAAATGAGGCTTGAGGAAGGTCGTGCGGTGCTAATGGAACCGTTCGTCGCCTCTTTGTACTCCGCAATCTGGAACCGCTGCGGAACACCGTCCCTTGTGTTCGTCGACCAGCCTCTGCTCACCATTTCCTCTTCGCCGGGCTTGGAGTTCAGCGCCAGAAGACGATATGGCACCCACCTCCTACCCCATGGCTCTGGCAGTCCTGGTGCCGCTTCCCTTCGACATTGTCTTCACCGTCCTGCGCTTCTGGATCAGATCGAAGAGGAACGCGTGGGGACCTGACGACTGGGCGATGCTGGTCAATCTTGTAAGGCCGTTAGAGCCTCTGACATGAGTCTGATGCTGACCAAGCGCTGTAGCCGTTCTGGACAACCACTACCATATCCACCGTCGCATTGGCTTGGAGTGGTGTCGGTGCCTACGACGCTTCACTGACCCCGTATCAGTACTCGAATTCCCTGATGTGGTTCTACATCTTCCAGGAGCCGTGGTGCTTCACGCTGATCACCATCAAGTGTTCCATCGGTTTCGCACTGATCAGGATCGCAAATGGCAAGAAGTGGATCGAGTATATGATCTACGCTTGCATGCTGTCCTGTCTCATTGTCATGGGCGGTACTGGCATGTACTTGTTTTTCCAGTGTCATCCCGTGCAGTATGTCGCTCCGAGTTCATGGATCTGAGTTAATAGTGTGCTGACGTCGAGTAGAAAGAACTGGTACCCAACTATAGACGGTTACTGTCAGCCCCGCAGTACTCAGACCACCCTTTCGTATGCGGTCGCTGTCGTATCGATTCTCAGTGACTGGATCTTCGCGATTCTGCCCATCTTCCTGCTGTGGAACGTGCAGCTCGACTGGCGAGTGAAGTGCTCCGTCGTTGGTATGCTCGGACTTGGAATCTTGTAAGACCTGGCGCTCTAGCAATATATGAGCTGTTACTGATAACTATAGCGCATCGATTGCTCCCATTGTTCGTCTCAAGTACTTGATCGGGTTGGATGACGAAACGCGCATCATGCAGAACCTCGGCAATATCCTCGCCTGGGCATCTGCTGAGGTAAACATCGGAATGCTTGTCGCAAACTTGCCTGCTTGCAGACCACTTCTAGAACGCATGATCCATCGCTTCTCGTCTTGGACAGGGAGTGGAAGTCGCTCTTTTGGTGGCGGCAAGAAGTCGCAAGCGCGCGCGACCTCTCACAGCGGAGTCAATGGCGCGTCGAAGCAGTATCTGGAGCTTGATGAGCGACCGGGAAGCACAACACTGCAGAATTATCTGACGAATGGAAAGAGTACAGGTAGCACTGGCGTAGAAACAAGGATATATGGTCACCTCGACGGTGACAGCAGCATTAGTCTTGACCGAGACGATGGGAGCCAAAAGCATATCGTGAAAAATTCGGGCGCCGATGGAATGCGCGTCAATATCCATAAGGATTTCAAGGTGGAAGTGAGTAGAGGAGGCAAGCCACTTCCGAGAACGCCGGTGCCCGGAGACATAGTATGAGTGAGAAATAGCAGTGTCGATATAATCATCAGCAGAACGACGATATTAAGATACTCACTCGGAGAGTACTCACTCGGAGAGAGTAGAGTGCAACGTCTGCTGAGGGACTCATAGAGTGACAGCAGCGGTGCCAATCACTCAATTGATGGGTGGACGTTGCAACCTTAGGCAGTTGATGAGAGCCACCATCCCTCCTCTAGTCTTAGCGTTGATCTAAATTTATCCAACGTCGAGCGCAGTAGCGATCTCAGCCACCCTGCAACAACACCACAACGCGACCTAAACATATCGCGAGCCAATTACCAGACGTTCCAAGGTGTACGACACAGTAATCGGCGCGTTTCGTGTAGCCTCATCAATAGGCACGACGCGGAAGCCCGAGCACGCAGTTGCGATGCAGCTGCACGCTGACTAGCCATGTACCTAAGGCGAGGGAGGGCTGCGGCGTAGCTCGGCCTATAAAAGCATAACCACACTGCTTCCGCTCCCGTTTCTCCTCAATATATCCAGTGTATACATCTGAAGTTCAGGAAGCCTTACAAATCACTGCCCTATCGCTTGCCGGGGTCTTTTGTACTGTCGCAAACACCTTCCCATCGCGCCAACAGTACAGAGAGCGACACCATCTACTGCCGCCACAAGAGTCTCAAGACCTGGACCCAAGCTACCTCCTCAACCACATAATAAAGCCTTCACACAATGGTCTCCCACATGCGCCGCATATCCGGGCTCTTCTCGCACCCGAAAACCTCCTTCCAAGTCCTCTCTGACCTGCATCTGGACCACGAATCACAATACCTGACCTTCCACATTCCCGTCAGCGCGCCCTTCTTAATCCTCGCCGGCAACATCGGGCGCTTAATAGACTACGAATCCTACCTGTCCTTCCTCATTCGGCGCTGCAATCTGCACGAAAAGGTGTTCCTCGTTCTCGGAAGCTTGGAGTTCCACGGTCTCGCGTGGATGGACGGTCTGCAGCTCGCGCACAAGATGGAGAGGGAACCCGCGACCAAGGGAAGGCTGGAGGTGCTGTACGAGACACGGAGTGAGGTGCCGGGCACGAATGTTGTGCTGCTGGGCGCGACGCTGTGGTCGAGGATCCCGGATCAGGACGTTGCGGCTGTGCTGAAGAAGATGCCCGAGTTCAATGAGGAGAGTGGGATACAAGGAGAGTGGAGTATTGAGAATCATAATGCTGAGTATAAGCGGGATTTGCGGTGGCTGAAGCAGGAGGTTGGCAAGGCGACGAAGCCGGCTGTTGGGCCGGATGGGAAACCGATGTCTGGATTTCAGGCGGGAAGTGAGGCCAAGCAAGTCGTTGTTGTAACGAGTTTTGCGCCGGATTTGAGAGAGTCATTGGACCCGTGGCAGGTGGACACGCCGTGGAGCTCGGCCTACGGGACGGACTTGCTAAACGGAACTGAATGGTCTGGTGTGAAGACTTGGATCTGCGGGACGACAGGGAGAACGTGTGAATTCAAGAAGAACGGCATTACGGTTGTTTGCAATCAGAGGGGACGCGAAGGCGATCACGTCACGGGTCTGTTGAAAGATGGAATGACTGAGAAGCAGAAACTTGGTCTATTCGACGTAATGAGAGTGTTTAGAGTGTAATACAACTGTAACGGTTGAAAGGAGAAGCGGATCACGTGTTGTTGGTGGTGGTCTGGTGCTACTTCCTCATGTTGTTGAGCACCTCTTACCTCAGCTGCATCACAAAGACGTCATCAAAACAGACCCCGCAGCGAGCCTTGGAGAGCAAAGATACAAGCAACACGACAACACAGAACACAATACACTCGTTATATACATTTGCTCTTGATACCGCAACAACAACACCTAATGCAACAGGCATATCCATACTACGCTTGTCTGATCCGCTCAGAGCGGATTACCATTGGCGTCAACTCGGACTCTCACCACCCCCAGTCTCCAAGCTGAGTTCTTGAAACAAGCTTCAGCTCCCTCTTCTTCCATCCGAAAAATCCTGCGACTCTCTTGACGAAACCACCCCACGGCCGCCCATCGCTAGAGTCAGTTGTGCGCCGCGGTACTCCGTCGCCTGGTTTCTCTCCTGCGCGTGATTGGGATACAGCCACACAACCATTGCTTCGCTCCAGGCCCTCTCTCTCTTGCTGCAGGATACGTTCGAGAGCTTCGAATTCTTGAAGAGCACCTCGTTTCTGACGTGAAGCTTCGAGATGTGCCTTGAAACAAGCTGCCGCTTCCTTTTCTTCCATCTTGATGGCCTCAAGTTTTGTAACCATGTGGCTCAGATCACATGATATCCTATTGTAGCAGGCACTGCACGGTGGGCAAGTGCACTTACCTGAGAGCTGAGAGATTATGTAACACAACAACAGAACAACAGAACATCACACAACACGACAACAGATAGCAATACAATCGTTGATCACAGTCTCCGACCTACACTGCTCACGCAGTTACAAGTTTGCGCGGAAGCGGTCCAGACCGTCGTCAGTAGCCCGCTGTCGGCGTTCCGCTGTCTTGCTCGATTCACCTTGTTCGATACTGCCCACGGTGCCTGCTACCTGGTTGTTTCATGGTATCTGCTGCCGTGAACCGAGTTGTGAAAGAGGAAGGCCCTGTCGTGTGACATTTGTATTCGTGACCCCGCGATAGCTGACAAACCTCACCCAATCAGGTCGCGTTTCGTTTTGACTTAAAAGGCGCGCGTCCTCCTTAAAGAGTAGCATCGAGTTCCTGATTGTTCATTCAGCTGGCCATTACTTGCTCAGAATTCAGACTCCACGATGCCTTCACCAGACGACTCGACCGTCACACTCACCTCCCACTGTTTGTGCAAGGCCAACACCTTCACCACCGAAGTACCCAAGTCGAAGCTCCCTCTACCAGCGCCGATCTGCCATTGTTGGTCCTGCAGACATGTCACCGGTGCCCTATATACATCGGACGTGCGCTGGCCAGAGCCGCGAGCCAACGTCGATGTGTCGAAGCTAAAGGCGTACTCATTCACCCCTCGCGTCAACCTGCTCTTCTGCCCATCGTGCTCCACTCCAATGTTCTGGGAGATCTTGAACGAGCCTGGCAGTCCACTTGCAGCACTCACTGGAACGTTGACAAACAGTGAGGTGACGCCGATCAGGTTCACAGGGCAAGGTTACGTTGGTGACACAATTGATGGAGGCGCAAGCGTGTGGCTTCAGGACGCGAACGCAGACGACTCAAAGTGTAGACGCTTCAAGCACGAGCCGGAGAACGCTGATCCTCGTGATGAATTGCCAGCGGACTGGCCGCCTGCGAATGGCCTCATCGGGTTCGAGAAAAGGACCGGAGATTCGGTACCCATCCGCTGCAAGTGCAAGGGCGTCGATCTCGTTCTACATCGCGGCGACTATTCAAATATTGAGGAAGAGGATTTGCCGTGGAATGTCGATCCAGAAACGCACAAGCTCTCCACCATCTTTTGTGGCTGCGACTCGTGCCGACTTCAGGGTGGCATCGATCTCTGGTACTGGGCGTACTTTGACATAAAGCATCTGTCTGCCGCCAATGGAGACACGCCTGTCCCCAAGTCAAAACATGAGCTGAAGGCGTCCATCGACAGCAAGGATCCCGTCATTGGCAGCTTGGCCTATTACGCCTCAGTAACCAGGGCTGGTGCGCTTCGCTTCTTCTGTAGCACATGCTCAGCGACCGTGTTCTTCGCAGAGGATGATCGTCCTGAGCTACTGGATGTCGCGGTGGGCTTGCTCGATGCACCGGACGGCGCCCGAGCTGAGGGCTTTCTGTCGTGGTCGTTCGGCAATATTGACTTTAAGGGAGACGCTGATGGCGGCTGGCGAGCCAGGCATTTCGATGGGGTAGAGAAGGAGACCGAGAAGTGGAGGGTTGCGAGGGGTTATCCCAGGAACTGGCGGCAGACCGGTGGAGGCACTATGACGAGCTAGTGGTCATGTTGGAGGTGCTGCCCGTGCGGGGTCCGGTGTGTATGGCAGACCAAATCAGGGTTGGGTGGTGGGTGAACGGAGTCGTCCGAGGAGTCAGAAGTTGGCTGGGTAGGTGGCAGGGGTAAACAGCTGTCTTTGTCTTGAGGTATCACTGAGCCCCTTACTGTCGAGCTGCACGTGTCTTTGCGCTTCGCTCGCGCTTCTGAGCCTACGTGTTTCTCGAGCGTCATATTTAAGCTTCTGAATCGAGTCCGTGGCGCCCTCCTATCCATCGCGATGAGATGCCTGGTCGTTCTCTCCCAACGCGTGTACTGCACTTCCCATCGATGTAGTCGCTGCTGTGAATATCGTGACTTCATCACCCCGCCGGTGCGATTGCTGTCTCACTCTTTTGCTGTAGCACATGCTGAGCAAGCTGTACCGATCGTAGAGTGGCGTGCAAGATGTTACGAAGAGCTAGCTTCCTAAAGCATCGCAACACGGCGTTCTTGGTGCGGTGAGGGGGTAATTGTGGTGTTGAGGGTCACCAAAACCGCGGCGCTAGCTTCTCCGCGCCTTCCTCAAACTCTCCCCTTTCCTCCTCCACCCCGCACAATCTCACCACCTCCACATTGTATGACACCGCCGCCATGGTGTTGCTGTGTTTCCTCATACCTATTGTGAGGCTCTCACGAAGCTCATACAACCCACCACCGCCCTGAAGCTTCAGGGGACTCGCCCGCCTCGACGACCTCGACCGCACCTTCGGATCAGTGCCCCCACAACACCATCACCCGCAAGTATGCCCTGCTTCACGGTCGATGATGGAGCTTCTCTCACGACGGAGCTTCTTCGGAACCCAAGCAGCGCATAGCGCGCCGCCTTTCCGGTGCCTCACGCGCCCTTGAGGTTGCGCAGCTCAACAGCTCATCCCAGGTACCTGCACACACCCACGTGAGCCAGTAGCATCTCGTAAGCTCCTGTCGATCATAGCATAGTCTCGAGTTTGCTCTGGTGGCAGAGCTTCGTGTCAATTGTTGACCGCCAGACGTGTGTAATATGTTGGCGGGGTTGTACCGGTTTCCGGTTCGCCGCACACGCAAGACCAACGATGGCGCACACACCAAAACCATTGATAGAAACGGCGCGGCAAGCAGCTGGAGGCCTTCGTAAAGCTCGCTTGTATTTTGTCCTTCCCGTCGACGTGATGTCGATTGGCTCTCTGCCGGGCATGTGCTGAGCCAGGATCCCCAAAGGTGAGTCATGATGTAGCTTCCGCTGTTTGACATCAAGGATGTGACTAACGAGACGCAGATGCAGATGGGATATCGATGCCTCTAATTGTTCTGTTGCTCAACGCACTATGACGGTGTTCCTGTACGACTACGCTGCATCAAACTCATCCCGCCGTACCGCCATCTTCAGCAATGGTCCACCGCCCCCACACACCTCTTTCGAATCTAGCGCCATAGCTGCGGAAATGACATCACCACGATGGGTAACGGGAGATCTTCGTTAGGGCCAGAGGGGCAACTCCGACCAACGCAGCTTGTCAGACGAACATCTACAGCTGGCCCCGCAGTACGTGTGTGCACCTAGTGCATTGCAGACATCGAGCGAGAGGGCAAGCGGAATCACCATCTCTGCCGCCTGGCTGACACGACAGGATGTGCTTCAACATTCCCCTTTGAACAGCAGGACCTCGGTGCGTCGAGTGATTTGCCCACATCAGTGCGTTCCTTCAATCTCGTTGGCAGCTTCGTCGCTGAGCTTGACGTTGGGTATGGGCGATGATCCTGAGGTGATGCTTCGACTTGGGCTGCTCCTGTACCGCGAGCTACGAGACACAGACCCTGAGCCCTCTTTCTTTCCGTCTCTTTCCTTCCATCCCTCTCCTCGTCTCTCCCGTTGTCCTTGAGTTTATCCTTTTCCTTTAACATCTCGATTATCGGCCCCCATTCTCTTCCGCATCCTAAGCCGTATGATACCCGCCCCCTATCACCGTCTCTTTCAGTCGCTCGTCTTCATCTTGTCATACCCTCGCCCCCTTTTATAAGCCCTTCTCCTACTTGCCTGCCAAGTGTGTCTTCCTGGTCTCTTCCTCGCCATCTCAAATTCGCGCGAAGCTATCATACCCAACTCACATTCTTCTTTGCTTCAACCCAAGCCCCTCGATGCCTGCAAGCACCGATGACTTCAATCTTTCGTCATTTACTATGCTATTCTGTTGGCTTCAATGCTCTTCACAGCGTCCCCTTTGTCATCAATTACTGAGCAGAAAACCTCTACAGCATTCTTGCGCAACATCATCACCGCCCTGCCTTCTACCCTTGTCGTTCACACCAGCCCTGCTTCTCCTTGCCCTTGCTTTACATCGTCTGTTGCGTGTGGTATGGTGTCTGTTGCGGCGTTCATCATTGTGGAGGTAGTCGAGGCGTTTTGACTGATGCAGGGACTGCTCTGGCCTGTCTGAGCATGGGCGCGATTGCGCGGACCTGTCAACGTCAATCGCCGTATCCAAGATTGAGGTAGGCAGTCCCGTTCGGAGCTCTGCGATTCGACAAAGCTGTCAGAGCTTACCTACGTGTGCAAGGCGGTTTGCTACAAGTATCTGCCAGAGCCGCAAGCAAACAGCCTCAGGTCGCTGCAGCAGCAGCTACCCTAAGGCTTCTAACGCTCGCGCTGCAGCGTTTCTGGCTCTCACCCAGTCGTAGAATGTCCGAGGGTGGTGCAGGCGCGTGTTTTCATCGACGTGAGGTGCTGAGAGCGCGGAGCCATCGTCCTCTGCCTCTGGCGGAGCCTCTTCATCAACAACGGATGGGCATCGATTGCGCTCGCTGCAGTGGTAAAGCACGAATGCAGCTATGATCAGCAGCAAGAAGTACACCAGGGCCGTCTCTTGCCGCTGATGCAGCGCGAGAGCTGTTGGTGTGGTGGTGAGGAGGTGGAGGTAAGGGGAATGGCCTCACCATGTCGAACATCATCAACAGCGAGGTCGAATATGCACGCCCGCACAGCCAAAGTACCGCTACTGGATTACTAGGTCCGCAAATCTCTTTGCAACTGCAAGATAAATGCGTAGAAGCATACGCACGAGATCTGAAGTCAAAATATCTTCTCTCACGGCATAAGTCACCCGAACTCACTATTTCGTCACGTCCAACCACGTTGGATGCAAACCAGCTGTTCACAGATTCCAATGTACGTATATATGCAGTCAAGACGTTGCACGAAACCGAAGGCCGACATCCAGTCTACCAGCAAGTCTCAGCATTGCCTATCAAAAAACTCAAACTACAGTCCATCGACGGCGATTGAGCCAGGCTTCATTCAGGCTTTTAGAAGGAGTGATCCTGCCGTTCTTTACGCCGCAATTGATGGTGGGGCGGATTTTATTTCGCTGCATGATGGTGGTGGTGATGCAGGTGTGCCGTATGGTGTAGAAGCAAGAGACGAGGAGACTGCAACAATAAGCTGCACGAAAGCGAGCCAAGGCCACGCTCCCACGATCGTCATCCCACCAACGCGTTCGACTTCGGGCTCAACAAATGAGGGGCTTAACTGAGAGTCATTGACTAGCCCTTGTCAGCTGAACCTTAGCCAAAGCTTTGGAGTTTAGATAAGCCTATCATTCCGAGCCTGGCAACAGGGTGTTGGTTGCCTTGGATGAGTATGTTGCTATCACCTGCATATCGTCATGGCGACGAAACTCAAAGAACTACTGGCTCACCTTGCTCATGGTGAGGCTTCTATGTCTATATATTAAATAGATTTGTAAGTTTTCCATCCCTTACCATAAAGAAACAAGCTGACTTAGTCCAGGCGAGAGTGTACCGCCCCGGTCCGAGCCTTGACCAAGCTCAGGTGGCGTGGTATTATTTTGCTGCTTCCTTCACGTCATGAGGTCCTCAGTTCAATTGTGGAAGTGTCCATGACTTTCTTCTCACACGTCCAGTGTAAGGCAATGCACATCTGCATGCATTCCTCTCATTCCGCACCGACATGAGCACTCGACTTACTCAAATTTACCAACACAGCTTGAAGCAAGTGCCTGAAGGGTCGTGGAATCTAACAATCAAGTCCTGTCATCTTCAATTATCTGCATTCAGCTGATAACCGTGCGCTACGCTCTTCTGGAGATATTCAGGTCGATTCCAGTAGATAACGGATCGACTTTGCTAGCCTATGGAGTCTGACACATTACGAAAAAGTGATTTTACAGATGTTCTGCGCATCGGGTCTAGGATCGCAATGGCTTCTCCACGTCTATGTTATCTCCGACAGGTAGTTCTCCATCACCTTCGTCATGGCGATGTGACCTGGAGCATCCTCCTCAGCCACCAATGCGTCGATCAACAGTTGATTTACGTCGACCCGAAACCTCGCCAGCGCATCCCGGACTCTGCGACCGATCATGTCCTTTTCTCTGACAAAGTCATGATGGCTCATGTCATAAAGTCTGCCACGTCCGCCGAGGCTCATCGTCGCCTTCCATACAGCCTCGTTCAGCTGTCGAACAGTCAGCGAAACGCAATCTAGATCGCCAGCAGCTGCACTGTCCAGCACTTCTCTGTATACGGAGCCAAACCCATGGTAATCCTCATGTCCTTCTCTCTCGTACTTCGACACGTAATCGGCATGCCTGTGGGTCTTTACGACATGGCCGTACTGCATCGAGCCGGGGTCGAGGGTCAGCGCCTCATCGCCTTTGGGATTGAGAGTGAAGATTGTGTGCCACTTTTTCGGAATTCTCTTCTCGTTCGGCGGGAAGTGAAGGGTTACCGGAGGTGCGATGTTTTTGGGCTAGTAGCACCTCTTGAAGATATCTATGGAAATGTCTGAGGGTAGTCAGTCTATGCTGCTGGGCGGAAAGATGATGCACGAATCCTCCAGGAGTCAGGCAAGGACGGGCTCTTAGACGAAATAGCGACTCGACAGTGGTCGAAGCTTACAGCGCCGAGGATGGTCTCCACACTCATGGGCTGCTTGTACTAATCCTCACTAGGTCTTGCGTCACGATTGTCCGCGGCAACTACCCACGTACTGCCGCTGTCGGTATACGTGGAGACGATCAGGATGTAGCTCAAGATCATCTCGCGACACATGAAGAACATATTGCAGATGGCACCGACTCGAATCAGGGTCCTCCAGAGCCTGGTCTTATTGCACATTGGCTTGTGTATGATCTGGTCATCAAAGAGGTTTTGGATCGAGCAGTAGGCAAAGTTCGAGCGTCGATCGAAGATTTCGTCTGGAGTGTCGATACAATCCAGGCAGGGCACCGAGAGCTGGTGGATAGGTCGATCGCAGCCAGCGCAACCGCAGACCTTGACGCCAAGAGACATGATGATGGCGACTGCGCGAATAAGAGAAACTATGCACCACGGTAGCGCTTCTAAAAGGTCAGTGTTTGAGAACGTGGGGCTGATAGCTGGGAGGTGAGGGCGAACAGAGCTCTTACGCCTGTCCCGCTTCACGCCGACCAGGACCCCGCACGTGGCTTTCCTCAGAAACTCGAATGCAACATTGGAAACGGGCAACAATAATCACGGATCCCGGGCAATTGAATAAGAATATTGTAAATGATCCGTCCACGCCCATGTAGGGGTATCCAGCTCAACGGCCATACGTGTACGCTCACGCTCCAAGCTCTGCGTGCAGGAACGATGGCCAGCACTGTCGCAATCCTCCTCGAGGTCCTTGAATGCCTTCGGATCGTCCTTATTTCCACCAAGTTGTATCTCCTCGAGCCGAAGTCTCAGCCTACTCATCTCCACCTCCATCCCTGCGAAGATCTTGTCCTGGGCTTCTTCGAAGCCTTCTTGGGACAGGTCAAGCAGAGCATCAATCCCACCAGCAGAGCTCAAATCGCTCACCATCACATAATTCGTGGTGCGGAGAGTGCAGGTCGACTTTCCCGAGTCGAAGGGTTTGAGCTAGTGGTCGTTTGTGTGCCGATCGAACTCATGTCCGAGATTGATCTGAAACAATTCGCCGCCGCTATGCACTATCTCCCTCAGATATTCTTCGAGGGTATCAATGCCGCGGAAAAAGGGGTATTGGGCGTGGGAGGCGTCTGCAACGATCGGCGTTTGGTCAGATCGAGATGTAAGGAGGAGAATTGTGTGATCGAAGTCGGTATTGCGGCGTTCTGATCCAGGAGTAGACCACCACTCGACGTCGTGGACGCGCTTTGGCTTGGAGAACGATACTTTCTTGACCATTATATCAAGATCTGCTCGCATGATTAACAGCGTCCATTCAGGAGTTACTACCTATTGCTTACCTTCGAGGCAGTACGCCAGCTAGCCGGTGTTATGGACAACGACGGCATTGCACTTGTTCACACTAACGAGCATTTTCTTGACGTCGTCAAGCATCTGCGGACTAAAGAGGGGAGTGTCTTTGACGGGCTTCTGGCACGTCTGCGTCACGATCCCGAGTTTGCCGTCGTGGTCGACGAGCGCATCCCAACACAAGGCCTGCAACTACACCATGGCAACGCCATTGTACAAGGAGTTAAGGCGGCGGATATCTCTTTCAGTATCTCGAGAAGTGTTCATGATGGCGCTTTGAGGGCGTTTGTGTTGCTGCCGCAGCTGTGGTGAGTGTTTGGGTGGACTTAGCGCCGGATCATCGCCATTTAGATTGACAGCCGCATTCACGAGGGTCCAACCACTGCACTTCTGGTGCAAAAGTATAGAGACTACTGGTTTTGGTATTGGAATAATCGCTTGGTTGTCGACGGGCTAAAGAGTGTTTAGTCTAGACCGGGGTATCAGGTAGTCAGCGGCACTATCATATCGTAACCCTTGACGAGCATCTTTGTCGGCGGTGAGATGAGTTGCAGCGATTATTGTACCTTAGCCTCTCGCAATGAAAGACAGTCATAAAATATGCCAAACAGTAGTCATTACTTGCGGATTAGTGCGAAAAATTCCGACGATAACAGAGAAGTGCCAATTGGACGTAGTTCTTCACTGGCGCTGTCGCGCCGACTGTGCCACTCGACAACCTTGCAAAGACACGTGCCCAGATTAGTGTGGCGCATATCCCTCCCATTCACCAGCAGAAAGCAAATAAGAAACACTCCGAGACCTGAGATCGGAACTGGAATCGGAGCACGTTGGTCGTACTTCTTGTGGAGTGAATTATCTCTAAGCCTATCATTCTGTTAGCCCTCTCAGTATTCAGATAATCTAGCCGAAATCACAACAAACGTAACAGCATTTATTGTGAGTGAAGAGTCAGTGGGAGGTAACAATAGGGAGTCAAACGAGATGAGGTGACGACAGTGGCACTATACTCGAGACTGAGAGCACTCACAAGATGTCTTCGAGCATGATCATTCAGCAGAGGCAAAGTGGTCTATCGGGGAAAATTGGCGTACTGCAACGAGTCGAGCATAAGACCTGAGGCTATTGCAGACCATACACTTCTGGCGTCATTTGTGTTGACATTACGTCGATCCTGGACGAATCCAAACAGTATTCTGAGATTTTCCTAGGCACCAAAGGCTCGAGTGGCACCGGTATGAAGCCTGTCAAGCCGGTGAGTGACTCTGCGCAGTGCGAGGGCCATATAACCAAGCTTACCTGAACCTCGTAAGGTTTCTATTACAACAACGTCTGACCATGCTTTGTCAGATCCTCTGTCGGTACAGCAGGAACATTTTGACTCTGCTATTGCGCAGGTGAATGCCTGTTTGTTAGTATTTTAAGTCAAAACTGACCAGCTCCGTAACACCGCACCGCCCAAAATCACCACCATGGGTAACCTGTACTGCATCACTACTTCAGACAGTACCAATGAGTCAGAATCATCGTGATCATTGACCCTTGAGTGCGTCCTCCTTGTCTTCCTCCTCTGCTTCGAAGCCGCCATCAATGCCCTTCCATTCTCGCCGCCCATCCGCTCAACCACTGGACAAGTTCCCGGCAGCCTCTTAACATCCACCCCCTCCCACATCAAAGTATGGGAGTTCAAACGTAACCACTTGGCCTCCCTGAAAAGCTCTCACGAGCTTGAAGCTCTCCCAGCTTCGTACCGCCGGGTGTACGCCGCGCTCCGCAAGCAGAACATATGCGACCACTTCTGCTTCTTCTTGGAAGCTTCGCTACGCGTAAAGCTAGCAGGTATGTAGATCCATTTAAATGATCGATATGAAGCTGAACAAATGCACAGAATTAGATCTCGGCACTGTTCGCTGGATGCGCTTCAAGCCCCACCCGCTCGCCTTCTACGCCGAAATCATGCTCAATCAGGGCAACCCCTCCTCTCACCTCAAAGATCTTAAAGAAGAACCACAGCCCATGCACTCCGTTCTCGAGATGAAGACAAACCTCGGCGAAGAGCTGATTTTCGATGGCACGCCAGAACAGTTCGGGTGGAGCGATTTGGCTTGGACACAGGACAAGAAGGACGTTGAGGTGTACTATGTGGAGGGACAAACAGGCATGGTGGAGTTTCACGACGACAAGAAGTGGAGATTAAAGAAGATTTTGCTGGAATTGATCCTCGACCATGGGGTACTTTGTACACGCAGATGGAGGAATTACTGGCGGAGCTGGACTCGAACATCTTGCAAACTCTTGAAGTGGACCATGTTATGAAAAGGGTCAGGTATCAGGCACGGCGCAAGTTTATCGTTTCAGGAGCGTGAGAGGTACACAGATGTGGACGTGGAAGAAGAAGAACAGAACAGAGCCTCAAAAGCTTGCTTTCTCGAGGTCGAACTAGTCAGGGCGCTGTCGGTGCCCACTTACTCTTTGCTCGTATTCTGGCTCCGTAGACGTAGAACAGGATCGGTACAGGCAGAAAAGCAACACAAAGAAAGCCCAACAGGCTGGTCGCCCACGGTACACCAAGCTTACGATACATTGCATGCGTGAATAGGGGGAAAAAAGCGCCAGCGAACGATCTGACGAAGGTATTGACTGCGATGGCACTGTTTGAATAGAAGCCGTAGCAATCGATGAGGTAGCTCAGACCTTGCCAGAACGGTACCATGCAGCCTAGACCAATAAGTGCGACGGATAGTACCTGCGGCACCCAAGCAATATTCGTATCACTTGTCCATGCAAACCTGTGTGATGTTAGCTCGAAATCGGTTGTAATGAATTCATAGATTTGGTCCTACCAGAACAACCCGATGGGCAGAGCAATGGCGCCAACAATCATTGGCGGGAGGCGTTCTTCTGGAATGCTCTTTCCGTGTTTCTTGAATGAGCGTGTAAAGTTGGTAGCTGTGCTGTATGCAATGACGCCAGCACCCATTGTAATGCCGACAATAAAGGCGCCGAATGGAAGCTGAGAGATACCCAGAGACCAACCCCGTTCTTCGTGAAACGACACAGGGAAAGCTTCGAACAACAGATAGACGATACCATACAGAAAGCTCATGTACGCAGTCACAAGCGCCAGGATAGGCTCCTGGGCAATCATGATGAACGGCCTCAGTAGATAGACATTGACCACAGTATTGAGCGTCAACTTCTGCTGGTCTGCCTTGGAGTAATACGAACTGTCACCGGTGGCTTTCCGCAGCTTTGCAGCCCGAAGTTGAAGAATTCGGGCAGCCGAAGTCTCGGGAATGACAGCGTAGCCGATGGTACCGAAGAGCGCTGCCATGATCAGGGTGATCCATGATGTCCACCTCCAACCCAGGTGTGACTCGGTTATGAAACCTCCAGCAATAGGACCTGCGACAGGACCTGCAAACCCGCCGGTTGCGAAGACACATATAGCGTATGCTCGGGGGATGGGGTCCCACAGATCAGCAAGGGCTCCTCCAACGACAGCGAGAGGAGCTGAAGCAAAAAATCCACCCAAAAAACGGCCTACGCAGACTGTTTCAATGTTCTGAGCAAGTGCGACTGGAATCTGGAAGATTGCAAACAGTGCAAAGCCAAGGAACAGTGGAAGCTTTCGTCCTAGAACTTCTGACATTGGTCCAAACGCAATGGGTCCGAAGACGAAGCCCTTGGTGTGGTCAGTGCCTGCACGTTGAGGAAAGTGGGCTAACGTACTAAAACGAAGAGGGCAACACCCAGTGTTGCGGTAACGAGTGTGACATCGAACTTGTCCACGATAAAGCCAAGGTTGACACTGAAGATGGAGCTAGCGAATGTGACAGTGAATACCATCAGGCCCATGGATATCGTGATACCCCATCTGCGCTTTGGTTTCCAATTCTTAGGGTTTTCAGGGTCGTCGGGGCCATCAAACTCCACAAGAAACCTGTCCGGTGCAGGTTCACTAGCATGGCCAGTCTCGATGCTTTTTTCGGTGTCCAATATCGCACCGTTCGAAACAGCCTGGCGGTCTTCTTCACTTTTTCGTGATGTCTCATTGTCGCTCGTTAATGTTGCTGTCGTCCTTGATCGGCCAGAAGAAGTACGCGCCAGCGGCGTACCTATCGCTGGTGGATCCGTCGTTGGTGCTGACATGGCAGATACAAGGGGAGTCGAGCTTGTTCTAAGAAGACTATATGAGGGGCATCAGCAGCTTTTGTAGCATCTGCGCCAATACGTCGCGCGTAGTGCATGTTGCTATCTCCGGGGCGTATGTGGTGATAAGCGAGCTTGACGATCTGCCGCCCTCGCAGAAACGCGCAGCCAGGCTTCTGAGCTTCAGACCATACCTGTAGTTTTGAGTTGTAACAGCTGTATATAGTCGGTCAGCTACACAGATTATGCGCAAATCACAAGTGCGACTGATGAGTGATGAAGGTCTGCGTTGGAGGAAGTGGGGACGTCATCGATGTTAGGGATGCGCTTGCCGTTTCGGGACGAAGGCCCCTGACAAACACACGGTTTTCTGACAGAATCGGCCATCACTCCGGCCAACCATTAGGATTTCCATCAGGAACTGTTCTATTTTCTGTGTAAATGCAGCCCTTCTGCCCTTTTTCTGATGTCTTTGCTGTGCCGCACTGCCGCTGATGCTCGCGCTCGCTCGTTCAGCCAGACATCGCGTGCTAGTGAGCCTGAGAGAAACATAATCCGTCTCGTAGTTGTAATACTCCGAGGAGGCTTTGTAGCCTCATCTAATCCTGCTCCTGTCGTTGTCATCTCCAGCCCACGTTGTCCTCCCTCCAGCTCATCTTCTCATGTCGGCGCCGCGAGGCCTTCCTGCCACTGCCACAAAATTTCGAATGGTGACTGCCAACCACAGTGTTGAATGTCGTAATCCTCTGCGCCGCTCAGAGCCCATCCATGCTGGCCAAACACTTCTTGATCGAGGTTGGGTGATGTCAGAAGGTTTTGAGCGCGGCTGACAGCAAGCGGGTGTCAGTCGTCCAAAGCTTTGAGCGACAGTACTACGCTTTGTACATTGACACGCCAGGGTCCCCATTTGTAGACATCTGCGGATTCATGTAGCATGCATGACTGCTTGTCTTCTGCTCTATGTTCATTCAGGCAACAAATTTCCGGGCGTAGCAAACAAGATATGCGTGTCGCCGGAAAGCCGGCGTGCGCGCGTGTATCATGTCTACTGTATGTTCCTGCCTGTTGGCGAAACGACGAAACGGTATCTTTTATTTCGGGTCCGTCGTCAATAAAAAGCTGGAGCTGGCAGAGGTGGAGGGCCACGGCAGGTCAGAACTCGGCCAGCAATTCCCACTGTTCCCATTCCTCTGTGTTGTACGAAAGAAGCTAGCGGGGAACTGTGAGCTGGGCACGGCTAAATCACCTGCCTTGGGGGAAACAAATGGGTCCAAGTAGTTGGGTTGTCCATTGGAGTTCAGCTTGAAGAACCCGGATGATTACTGATGCGAGCTTCCTATCGACCTCATTGCAGATCCTCGTGCAAGGGAGATATATACCGGTGACGCAGGAGAGAAGGCTGCGGTATGGTTCGAGAAGGAAAAGGGTAAATGACGAGGCGGAGCTCCACTGGAAGAGCGAAGAGGGGCGGCGGCCAGGGGGCCGTGTGCTCGTGCAGGCGAATCGGCAGCACTTCTGAGTAGGTTCTCATTATGATCGGCCATGGCAGAGAATGTAAAAAGCAAATAGATGGGTGGGAACTCTGTTGTTGCAAAATGATTCTGGTTGTGGGTGGTGTGGGACGTTCGTAGTGTGATGAGCGTTTGTGTAATAGGGCGCAATTTACTCACTGCGAGCATCATAACCGCTTTAGGCTTGACCACTTAGCTACGCTCACCACCGAACATCCTTCCTCTTGTTGAATAAACTCTTGTAATATTGCCCGGAGAGCAATCATCAACCTTCAAGATGAGCAAGCTTATGATCCTCTTACGCGATCGTTCCCGTGGCACAGACCACTCGACTGAGCGACCGCGGCGACAAATGCCTTCTGCCAGTCCTTCGACCAGAGATCCGCTACATCATCTACGAGTTCATCGCCCCAGGTAGTTGGAGATGATGTGGTGGTATATATCACACGGCAGTAGTAGGAGGGGTGTGGGATGGAGCGCAATATTCGCTCGCAGCCCCAAGGCAGGACGTTGTTTGTGGCCATGTGGCTACTCAAATTGACGTGAATCACTTCCTCGAATTTAGTAAACGCAACAAACTTCCTGAATGTAATGAACTTCCCCGCACTCTTCCTATTTCCCACCCAGTTTCGTGTACATAGTCTTACTAACCTGCACAACAGCCCCATGCCTCATCCCATCTGGGGAAAGACCAGGCGCACATGCTTGATACGGTACCGTGAAGTTCTCCGTATAGTAGCACTCATACCCAGGGCCACTGTAATTGTCTTCCCAGAGGTAGTAACGTTTAGGGTTGAGAATATCCTGGTAGCTGGCGGGACCCTCTCGAACCTTGTCAACTGGCACACCGATGCGAGTCCATGTACCAAACAGCCCATTAGAAGACCGATCGAGGACAACCCGCTTCACTTGCTGCGTATCGCTAAGATAGCGCACGTAGTTTCGGCCGCCAAGCCACTGGATCTCTTGGTCAATGACGGTCGCTGTCTGGTCGCTGTTCCAGCGTGCAGGGGCGGTGAATGTCTTGAAGTCAGTGGTGTGGCTGTAGTAAATGAAGGGCCCTATTGGTGTGCCAGAATGCGCTGTATCGGAGGCAGCGAAGATGTTGGAGCTCCAAAACACAGCGTATGCGGATCGGTCTACGTCCCAGATTGCTGACGGGGCCCAAACCTATAGTCGTTAGTTTTTCGTATGTCATTGCGGAAAGCAACTAACGTAGCCGGCAGTCGCTGGCATCATCGAGACGAGACGATCTTTAGACCAGGTAATTCCGTCGCTAGACTCCCAGACGAAGATGCCCCGGGAGCCGTTAGTCTGTGCGAGGCCCCAAGTGGTCTTGCTAATGTCAAGATCAGTTGCCAGGACGATCAACTGGCAGTCATTGATGTTAGTACTTTGCCTCGAGCAAAGGATGTAGTCTCACTGACCTTGGATGCATCTTGCGTCTTAAAGATGTATGGATCTCGTGCGCCACGTGTTCCGGTTGTTGGTATAAGTACAGCCTTTCCATTGTTCAACGGCGTGAAGGTAGATGGTTGTGATGCCGGAGCTAGGTTGAGGAAGACTTGAGGATCAGCGCCCTTGAAAACGGCAGCCAAGTAACCACCAGCGGTCTCCTGTGCGCATACAGGGCCTGCTAGGCCCAGGATCGCATACAGAGAGGTGTAAAGTAATGTGTGCATTGTGAAGACTTAACACTATTGGGACACCTTGACTTGGAAGTACAGATGACCCTGTATTTGTACTACCTCTAGGCTTCCGTAATTTCCGAGGATGTATCGGCGAAGCGTGCGAGAAGCGCAGAATGCCGAACAGATCATTGCTTCATTTAGATCTGGGGTACCACCCCCGCATTTTAGTTTGACGATCTCGTAACGTTACGTATACGAAGAAGCTAAGAAGCGCCTTTTTTAAGGGCGATCGCACGCAGGAACACTACAACACCCGAACAACCATCTGCTTCTACTTGCTGTTGCTCAACGCCATGACATCGCTGTATCTACAAGCCTACATAGGGCCATGGAGCAAGTAACTCTTCGCTGTTATAGTCAGACATAATTTTTATTTTGCCTGCTATGCTGTTGTATTATAGCGTACAGCAGAGCGAGCTTAGATAGTTTCTTTGTTAGCGGTTGGTCTTTGAAAACGAGCTTCTTCCTTGCAGAGCGTCATCCGTTAGTGTTGCTAAGAATAGCAGACCACGAGAGCATCACTGTGTCAAGAAAATGTGCATTGATGTACATGCTTCGAGTGCATAGCGATTCTCGCTAGCGCCGCTGTATCGGGAAGGTAAGTCGTTTCTGACGTGGACCATGATCAAAACAAAACGCCATCGTATCCTCGCTGTTTTTGTTCGCCATCGACGACAACATGTAAATGCAGGCCTAAGCCAAAAGCCGTACGCCAAGAAGATGCAAGTAGTGTACAAGTCCGCACGCAGAGTATGCAAGATGGAGTTTAAGATAGATCCATGGGACCACCGGCGTCGCCACGAGCGGCGTCGCTCGCAGTAGGCTGATGGATCGCGTCAGGACCAGGCACGGTGGGCTGCTTGTACATGGCCTGTACAGTCGACGCGGGAATGTTGATACCGCAATTCACGCCGTCCTGGCGGATCTGAGGGGAGTGCATGTAGCCCCATACGGGTGGAGGACCATAGCCGTTTGGTGTTGATGGAGTCGCAGGGGTCGAGGACTTGCGCGGGCCTTTGTTCTTAGGACCGCCTCCGCGCTGCGCTCGAGGAGCTGGGAAACAAGCGTTTTTCACACGGGTTTGGAACTCGGATGCGAAGCTATCGAACGGCTTCTTCAGCTCGGTGGTATTCCAGCCTAGCTTGTTCTTCATGCACTCAGACTTGCGATGGCTGATGGTGGAGCCTTCGATGCGAATGCCGTTGTTTTCCCAGCGTCTGCAGACATCTGATCGCGATAAGATGAGAAGAACAACTAGCAGACTGACGTTGTCATTATCGAGAAGGTGAGGGCAGTAGTCACAGACGTTGCAGGCGAAGTCGCGCATCTCCTCGAGCTCCCTGGTATCTGAGCAGTTGACAAAGCGTTCAGCCATGGAGAAGGGACGCACCATGTCTCTGCATATGTGGGACTGAAGAGTGGCAGCAACGGAAGAGACAGAAATGGGGTAGGTGTCTTCGCGGTTCAGTCGGCTGGTAGCTGCGGCTGACACGGTACCTGGAATGTATATGATCTCAATGTCGTCCCATGGGCCACGGTCGATGCGCAGCTTTTCCTTCTCCTTCTCAGTAGTGGCCGTTTTCAAAGCCCGCTCCTGCTTTGCAGCCGCCTCACGTGCAGCTCTAACGGCCTCTCGAGGGGTCGGGACATTGAATTTGTCAGCCAGCTCGACGGAGTCCCTGTGCATTTCGAACCTGGAGAGTTTGCGTTCAACATCGGGAGCACGTATCCAGTCTTCAGACCACGGCTCTTCTGCAAGGATTTTGTAGAAGACTTTGGTGAGAGCACGAAGCTTGATTTCCTGATCGGACAATTGGCGCCTGCTAAAGTAAAGTTCATCGGTCTCGTTGTAGGCATTCTCGATAAACGTCTTACGGTCCCTCTGAGTGAGACTGCCTCTTGAGGGGTCGTCCTTCCAGTCAGCAATGACTTCCATAAACTTGGCGTGGAAGATATCGTCGAAATGTTTTGAGACAGGCCGAGCTGATGCTGGCATATCATAAGCACGTGATGATGATGTTCGCGTTAGTTACATGTTCTTACGAGCGATGGCCTGTGGTGTCGGCTGTTGTTGTGGCGGCGAAGCTGAGGCAGCCGCGTCCTGGGTGATTGGTGCAGGCGACATGATGTCTGAAGCTCGGACGCGGGAATGCACGCTGCTACCCGAAGAAGGATCGTGTAAATGTTATGCAAGTAAACCCGAGTCCCTGTAATGATCGTAAGATTAATGGATTTCGATGGAGTGGACGTGTTATAATCCGTGTTGCGCTGATAGACGCGGGGTGGTTGGGGTGCTCTAGCTCGGGATGCGGTGTGAAAACATTGCCCACAATTCACAGTCGCCTATTTAGCGGGCTTGGCACGATGCATTGACTGATCACGTGTATCGCGCTCCCTCGAATTGCCACGTCATAGCTCAACCCTCGAGGCTCTGTCAATCTCACAAATTTTGCTGCATACAGTGTTCATTTGAGTCTTTCCATTGAGCCGCCGCTCTCACCGTCCGGGCAAAGCAGGCGGTAAGGCAGTCGCGACGTTCGGGTCTTAGCCCAAACTTTGACACCAAGACATCCGTGGCCATCCTGCACTGCCAACGGTCCTCGCTACACTTCTCAGCGTAAGGCTTCACGTCTCTGGGTATCAAGACAGGTTCTTGCCTAAGTGTCTGCGACAATATCTCCTGTTTTCTGGCTCGAGAAGTGCTTAGGAGCACAGGGTCAGGTCATCATCCCCAACACTTGTTGTGATATTTAAAAGAGTACAAGTCCGACTAATACACCAGAGCGTCAGTTCCACTGAGTTGAATTTAGATTGCTTAATCTAAGTCAATTCTGATCTATCTGCGATGTTGCTTCGAGTCGTATGATCCAGGACTGAATTCTATGGTCAAGCCTCCTGCGCTTTGGGGCTATCTAACAACCGCAGAAGATTCTGTGACCCCGGTCACGTTTCAAAATAAAAGAGTGGAATGAGGCAACTTGCACCTATGATATACGTTTGTAAGCCTTCATCGACACCAGTGCAGCAGAAATTGTGTGTCCCTAAGGTAAATTGGTCATTCATGTTGCTGGTACAAATGAACGTGATCGTAACCGCTCAACGGGTATCAGTCCATGTTGCCAAAGGCACCTTGAGAGCTCACCCCTGCCAATTGACAATCACGCAAGCACTAGACGCGTTACTCTTCAGAAGGCTTTTAATACGCGTCGCTCTTGGGACCTGTGTTCAATCTCATTGAAACCAGTATTGTTTTGTGGAATCAATTTCACATCCGAACTCGTCAACTGTCTTAAAGGATCTCTCTTCGTACACGGAGGCCATGACCTCAACAAATCGGACCGGATTGTGACGTCATGCCGCTTTTCTTCCTGCAGCTTACATATTCATCCTGGACATCTGTCTACCGACGTAGGCTAAACACATAGCACTAAGTTCGGCCATATAGTTTCCGGCCACATAAAGTTTCCAGTCACCCAACCTAAAGCAGCCACTAGTATAGAGTTGCAATTTTTATCAACAACAACGATTATACTTGCCATTCAGTACAAATAGAATTAAGAGCGCGAGCTGCTAATACTGCTGCAGCTTTCTGAGCTTCTTTCTCTGATGATTTGCTTGCCCATTATGCCTCCAAAGCTGCTGCTTGGTCAGTAGCAGCCTGTATACTCTCAGCGTTGCTGAATCGCTCATTTGGATCAGCTTGAACTCGCTTTCTTGTGCGAGTAACCCTGTGGGTATCTGGTTGGTATTTCATCCGTTGATTCTCAGCCTCGAGCTAGGCCTCTCTAGTAGTTTCTGCTGCAATAGCCTTGCCTGCCTTGCCAAGCACTATCCGCGTGCTTTGTGAGAGAGATTCTGACAACAACAGCTGCTGCTGGGCCTTATATAGAGCCTGTGAGCTCTGAGGTGTATTGAATATTAACTCTAAGGCAGCCACTAAGGCCTAGATAGTTGGAGGTGTAGCTAGTTGGCCAGTTACTTAGGATGATAGTAGTACAAGCTCTGGGTTGTACGGGCGGAGACCAGCAGCCCTCTAGCCAGCTCTGATTGTGCGATCAGATAGTGCTTCTTCTCTTGCCCTGTTGTATGATATAACAAAGCGCTCCTTCTTGACAGGTGCTGCGTCATCAAGGGCTAAGAGAGCTCGTATCTCATTCCAATAACTTGACTTCGGAACAGAGAAAGGAGCAAGATCTAGAGGCTACAACAGGTGAGATGTGTGGGCTGAGAGGTAGAGTAGATGTATCTTGTTAACCTTGCAAAGCCACATGAAGTTAATAGGTATATAGGAGCCGTAGATGTCGAGAAGGATGAAACAATAGCCACTATTGGCTGGTGAAGCTTTTAGTATAAAAATACGCTGTAGCTATTTCATATCCAATTAAGTTAGACGTACAGCCGTTCTTTGAAGCTGATAGAGCCAGTTCAGCGTGCCTTGGGCTAGGAACTAGGTAGATTGCAGATGCTTGCCTCTGAAGACGACTAGGCATTGAAGCTTGATGCTCGTGGCTGAGATTGTCTTAATAATCAATACCCACTCGCGATCGGATCCTCTGGGGATTTGATATAAGCCTTCTACTTTAATCGACTAGCAACAACTTAGAAGTTTGTACATACCCCGAGTGCGACTCCAGTCTCATCCATATTCCACATATCTTTATAAGTCTACACTGTATGCCTAGCTCTATTCCTGTCTGCTCAAACGGCTCAAGGAAGGCCTCAATAGTGTTGTAGTTGGCTGCTGTAGTACGTGCGCTATTTGATTTTTGGCCAACTATTAATACAACGCGTGGGCTGCGGGCGATTAAATAGGGTACCCATAGTTGCCTACGACGCTCATAGTCGCTATTCATGCGGAGGAGCTGGGTGGCCATCTCTTGTACGCGAGGATTGGAGGGAGGTTGTGCGCATGAGTCCTTATCAAGTATCCAATCTACTAGAAAGACTTCTTGTTCTGGGGTCAATTGCTGTTGTTTTGAGTAAGCTATCGCGTGTGGTTGTTGACCTGCCTGTCGGCTTTGCAACGTTGGTTGCGGAACGCCGTGCCGGCGCGCAGCTGCTCGCTCGCTCTTGAAAACACCAAAATCAAAATCTGCGATAGCGTTTTGTATAGCAAGCTCCTTGGGGTCCATTCTAAAAACGTATTGCTGATAATATAGGTTATTGAAAGTAGAGTGACGCGTTGGGTGGGGTGGCCAGAATTTATCAGTTACGTGACCGGAAAGTACATAGGTAGGTACCAATGCACGGAGTCAACCTGTTGCGGTATCAAGGGCAAATGTAAAACGTGTGTAGTTTGTTGTTCTCAGTTCTTGTTCTGCTTGTATCTTTGCTCTCCAAGGCTCGCTGCGGGGTCTGTTTTGATGACGTGTTTGTGATGCAGCTGAGGTAAGAGGTGCACAACAACATGAGAAAGTAGCACCAGACCACCGCCAACAACTCCCCTAGGCTAGAGCTAGCAACAAGCTAAATCTTGCCTTTCCTATGTCTTCCCTAGTCTACAACTAAAGGGGTTCTAATTCCTCTACAAGCCCTAGGAGCACCTCCTAGCGCTCTCAAAAGGACTGATATGAGAAAAGAAGGAACTTACAAAAAGGGTGGTCCTAGGGCTAAATTAACACTAGATCTCTACTAACCTATAGACTGTTTCTCTAACTAACAATAAGTAGTACTAAGTGAACGTACCCTTCCTACTGAGGCAAGGGATAGCTTAAGCTACGTTACAGGCCCTTATTGACTTAGGTGCTAATAGTATAGGTTATACTGCTACTATAGAGAATAAATTAGGCTCTATGTGACAAACACCAGACAACACAACCTAATACTAGGCCAACTGTGGCTGTATTAGCACAAGGTCGCCTTTGATTACTAAAACCAAGTTCTAAAGTTTAACTTGACCTAATGCTAAGCTGTTTACTTGCGCTAACACCTATAAGATACCTAAACCTAGTCTGTACCTAATGTAGCACTTTAAATAGCTCCTTTAGGTTTAAATATTAAATCCCGTCTAAATTAGGACTAAGGCATAACGTAGATTATCACCGAGCCGGCCATATCACCGAACTGGCCACTTTCTCTTGGCACAACCACCTTTTACCCTAACATAGGCTGGCGGAATGGGTATACTCCAACGTCCTTCGTGGGTACCCCCCAAAACTTTGTCAATAATACATGGATTCTAGCGAAATAGGGCTTAAAAGAAAGAGAAAAACTGTCTCTACATTTCTGTAGTAGAGGGTTTTGTTATAACTATTAAACTGCACAAGCTAGAGGCTAGAAAACGTTAAAAAAGGGGGGGTACCTAGCAAGCATACCTATTAATAGGTATACTTTACTAGGTAGTGTTAATAACTTAGCTAATACTAGGCAGAATAAGCTAATTCTTTTTTTATTAGAAGGCGCAATACTAGGCGCTTCTATTAAATAATAGATTATGTAAGCGTATCTCTGCTAGTTAAGAAGCTATAAGCCAAAACGTAAAAAAGCATACCCTACCCATCCGCCAGCCTACCCTAACACAACATGCCTTAACAACAACAACTTTAGAATACTGCTAAAGAAGGCAGAGTTATCCTTGCTATCTAGGCCTTCTATGCTAGCTAATTTCGCAGTATCTACAGCGCTGCTAGAGTGTTGAACATACCTTATTAGCAGGTCTCTAATTGCCTTTGCAATATCACGTTTTAACTAGACGTACGCGCTAATTGCTAGAAACTTACTATACTAGAGGAGCAGATAATTATCTAGTATATACTTAACCTTAATTCGC